AGTAAAAGCTTGTCCAAAAAGGCTTAGCGAGGAGTAGGAAACGCTTGTTAGGGCCTCCGTCGTAGCTAGCCGATCTCAGCGTTTGCGAAAAGTGAATCTTCTATCAGCATAAAATTTGAGTGGGAGATATATGATGTCATGAGGAAGACATCATAGTAACTTTTGTGCAGTAGTGAGGTCGAATTTATTGCGTTTCCTTAAAAGTTCATGCGTAAACGCTGGCCTCAACTTTGATATCCTGTGAGGATGCGGCTTGCTTTTCGCCCAATGAAGTAACAAGAAGCGGACGTTTGGCAAACAAAATGCGTGTAAGGCTCCAGACGAACAAATTTCAGTTGTAGCTCACTGGTACTAGACGGGATTACTGACATTTAGCTCAAAGATGCACTCGTGGGGTGAGGTGACTAAGCCACGACTTACTACGTTCACATACGCACGCACAATATCCGGTGTTTCGGGAACCAAGGAAATTGCCCCGGTCTTTGTTTTGTATCGCTCCAGAATGAGTGTATTGTACGTTCGTGACAAGTCAGATAATCGAAAACGCAAGCAGCGCGTTCGGTCGCGGCGTGATAGCATGAGATGGAGCTGCTCAGTCGAAACCGAAACTGAGTGGCCAACTAGTTCCCAGAGTGCACTACGTGGTATTTCGCCGCAATGGGGCGCGTCGGTTTTGGAAGAAGTCCATTGCACTGGGAGGAGCCGTTCTGCCTCCCCAGATAATCTACACGGGAAAGACAACGAGATGCCGTGTAGCAATTGGTTTTCCAGCCCCCTGGGACATCTCGCATTCCCCAGACCACTTGAGTACTACCAACACGATGCTGCGTTACATAGACGCCATGCTTGTACTATAACTATCTACATTAGTGCGAACACATCTCTGCGTGGCCCGTGGTACTATCAGGGCCTCCTGTCGACTGCTCTTTGAAGTATGCGGAGAGCAAGTTCGTCTGCTTCTTGTGCAGGGGTTGCAGTAACGTCAGAACGCCGAGCTCTGATTGGCTCGAATGAAAAAATAGTGGGTCGCCACGACCCACTATCTAAACGTCGTCTGCTCCTTTGCAACGTCGTCTGCTAATCAACAGCTGTCTTACCTTTACGAACGAGCTCGACTTCACCTTTCAGAGAGGGCAGACGAAATAACTTGAGAGGTAAGATGTGTTCTTGTCTAACAACTAGCAGACACACATCAAGGAGTGAAGCCAAAGGACTCGCGGCCGAGATGGCTGACGCGCCAAGGATTGTTTGCTAAGAACCGAGAACGAGGGAGGTTACCGTCCGCAAGTTCCCTCTTTTCGTGTACGGCGAGACTCCTCACCCTTTAATGGCTTCAGCGGGTTGGCGCGGTTGACGCAGTTTACATCGTCTGCTTTACGTCTGTTAGTCAAAGCAATGGCTGTTTTATCTTTCCTGCGTCTGTCGGAGATTCACCGCTTTTTCACAGACAAGAATGCGGCCTTCGAAAAAGGCGAAGGAAAATACCTTGTAGGATACGTCCTTTCTTTTGAGGCGAAGAGCTTCACTCTAGTAGCGAATATACAGGCGTCGTTTAAGAATTGTAGCTACGCAGTAAAAATGACGCTCTCCGATAAAGGCGACATTTTAGAGAGTCACTGTGAGTGCCTTTGTGGGGCCGCAAAGTGCAGCCCCGTGGTGGCTACTGCACTTTATGAAAAAGTTGTCCTGGAGCCGCGCGCGCGCACCCACAAACTGGAAGGTCATTGAGTTTGTGCATGCGCGCGCTTTCCGCGGCAACGGTCGCGCCCGCGGAGAGAGCCTTTTTATGGTTTTCGCTTTTGTCACCTTATTTTTGCTTTTGTACTGGGTTTGTTTTAGGCGTCGGTTAAAGGCTGCCGGTTTGCTTGGTTCCGAAGTCGAAAAGGAAGCGGGACCCGCTTTCCTTTCAGCTTTCGTCACCTTTGCTCGGTCACAATGGCTTCTTGTGATTTTTCTTTTCTTTTTCTTTTTTTCAATGATTCTCTTCTTTTTTTTTTTTCCGTTCACGTTGGACCGAAGGCTGCAGCGGTCGTGGCTTCGAATTGCGCTTGCTCGGAGGAGGCGGAAACAAGCTACCCGTGAAGCAGTGGATTTTGCTCGACAGTAAAATGAGTCGCAAGTAAGATACCAACCCGAGATTTGAGTTCAGTTAATCTCCTGTCTAGCTTCGCTATACACAGACCAAAAAAAATCACATTTTTAAACTTTTGTGAAACTTTTCGAGCTCGGTACCCGAGTCATGGCCCACCCCACAATTTTTGAGAATTTCAGGCGGTGGTGGGGGGGGGGGGGGGGGGGGGGCGTTGACTCGGGATATTACGGTATATATTTTATAGCTTTCATAGTTGAACAGTACAGCGCACATATACTGAACTACACAAAGTTAAGCCTCATAAAAAGTCCTACCTCTGGAACACGAAAGTAAAAGAATAAAGGTCTCAGCTGTTCTACAAGGAGTGCGCTCTGGAGAAGGAGCACATGCAAGTACATTCAAATAGAACATACATTGTCGTGGGCTTCGTTCGAAGTAGCAAGGGCCGCCTCCGAGATGTTCTGAGCCTCGTCAATGATCTTGGCAATCTCGTCGTAGGCCAGGGCCGAAGAAGACGTCTGCTGTGTGGAGTTCAGGATTCTGCAAAGCAGTACTCGTTCAGTAGGTACCCTCGTCGTCTCCCACACGGAGCCACGCATAAAAGCATTTGGACGTCCACCAGAACGTCTGGTAATAACAGCAAAACACCCTCGGCCAAATACAATTCAGATATGTCTGCCCATGAATTGGCCAACTACAACCAGAACAGAAATTCTCCAATATTTGTGTTGCTCGCATTAAAGGTTCTAAGCAGGTTGCACACTTAGTGGCCTGAAGTGAATGGTGCTGTCAAAAACTCGCGGATGAAGATGACGCAATACAGTGTCACTGGACGGGGTAAACTGAAAGCCTTGTTTTGGATGACAACCTATTAGCTCGCTAAAATCATGTTTGCCACATTTTTCCTGTTTGGATGTATCAGTTTTCCTCGGACGCTGACACTCTTCGATTGTGGAAAGCTTCCCGAGGTGAAGACTAGAATAAATGCCACTTCTAACGAGGGTTAACATGTTTTAGCTCTGTTGAGCATGCACAGGGTAGTCCCAGCTAGAAAAAGTAAAACTTCATGGCCTGCTTGCTCAGCAAGCCACTGGCATGGTAAAAACTTTTGGGGAAATAAATCCTACATGATTATAAATGAAACTTGCTGAAACCGTGCATTTGAAGTTAATAAACCCAAATATAATGTTTCTCATTTTTTATTAAAAAATGTCTTCTAAACACATTTCTTTAAGGGGTTAGGACATGCCGAAAATAAAATGAGATAACTACCGTAAATTCCGAGAGATAGCCCACCTAACATTGAGAGCGGGTGAAAATATAGGAGTGGGCCAACTTTCGGAGTACGATCGAGAAAAGTTTGAAAAAATTGCTATATTTAGGTTGTGTCCCTTCCAAGCTTTCTTATGGTGGGAGGGACAACAAAGCAAAAATGACTGTACTTCCCAGTCAGCAACGTTCGCTTATACCTCGCCAAAGCTAACCAGCCGCATTTATGCTGAGGCCATCATTGATCCCAACACTACTTGTACTAGACTGGGCTATCTCACGGTGTTTAATAAAACATAGGAAATCAAGCCAAAAGTAGGGGGAGGGCTATTTTTCGGGGGTGGGGCATCTCTCGGAATTTTACGGTATACTGCTATCACACATTGTATCTTCCTATATTTTTTCCAGCATTAGTAGAGATGCACGGAAACTGGAGCTTAAGTTAATGTGTCTTCGTATATCAAATTGACTCCGTAAGTGTGACGTCATGGGTCCAAACAAATCGTTGCTAGGGTCGTTATGGACAAATACATGTGGCTCGGTTTTGCTGCGAAAACTTGAGCGTTCAAAAATCAGGAGTAGGATTCATACTTCTAAAAATCACATATATACAAAGCTTGAATGTCATATATGTTTCGACAGAAGTGTGCCGGTAATCGCTACTTTCTGAAATATTTACGACTGCAACTTCCGGTCCTTAAGATGCCTGCAGCAGACGACGAATGCAAGAAGTATGCCGTCTGCCACACGCCGGCCGGCCAAGCCGGCGCAGTCGTTTGAATCGCGTGAATAAAGACGATATTCTGATATTGCATTTGTTTGAAATATAATGAGTTTCAGACACTTACAAGAATTCATAGTGGGATAAGATGCAAAATATGGTTTTTCGAAAGTCCTGGCGTCGATCGAGATGATCGTCTGCTCAAAGATCACATTTGCACCCGTGAGAAAAGCACTTCAGGCGATCGGTTGACTTCCCAAATTTTGTTTGAGGACTCGCGCTATGGGAGGGTGCTTCGTACCTGGTTGTAACCATCGCGTGGAGAAAGATTCTTGTAGTTTCTTTAGATTTCCGCAAGACCCCAAAACGCGAAAGTACTGGATAAAAAACATAAGGTGAGTACATGTAGCACTGGCGGACAGTCGCCTTGGTGTAAAAAAAAAGGACCGAACCAACCGAGAGCACGTAAAACCCGTATTCTGTTCGGTCATAATGTCTTAAAATATGGCGCTATATTTATATATTATTACTATAACATTGATAAAGTAGTTGCATGCAAGTAGTAGTGAGAGTAAAATCCAGCTGAAACCTGCAGTAGTCTTACATTGCTATGGTAAAGCAGCGTTAAGAAGTATGCCTGTGTCCATGCGCTATCCGGTTATTTTGTTTATGCTTATATATCTACCTTTGCTGTTGTTTTTTCATTGTGCTCTTCATATGTTCCCCTTTACGGACTAGCTCTTGAATTTAGCATATTTAGTACAAGACTGGTGGATAGCGTTCTCCTTGTTCACCTTTGTTTATATATACTTTTAATTGAGTGTTTTATTTAACTATATATTATTATTATTATTTTATTGAGGAACAACTGCAAGGTTGTTCATGGGTACAATAAAACGTTGATTGACTATTATTATTTTTTTAGGAGAGCAGACAGCGAGCCGGGGCAACAAGCACGCATTTGCAGTTGCCATTTCAAGGATGGAAAAAAAAGCAAAATGCCAACCATTTTCCCTTGGAATAAGGAAACTCGTTTCCAATTTCCAGAAACCCAATGTGGACGGAGGTGAGGACCTGAATATGCGTTATATTTCATTATAAGGTTAATAACACACAATTAATTTTTTCTATCTCTTTATATTTAACAAATATTGTTTGATGTAGCATATAACCTGTGTGTATGCTTTGCACACATTGTGATTTGCAGGAAGCGAACAGAACCCCACACACCACAGCAGGCACACAAACCTACCACGTCAAGAGCTGTACTAGAAGCGGAGAATTACTTCCTGCAGAGAGTATGTGTGCTTTTAATATGTTCTTTAATTGAAAAGATGTCACATCAAACATGCCTCTTTAACATATGAATCATAACCATGATTTTTCATCTGAAGGTTTAAGTTAGCATGCCTACATGCACATATTTTCACATCCAAGACAGTGGCATCAGGAGTTGTGCGGGGAGGGGGTGGAGGGGGGGGGGGGTGACAGGGGTGGGGTTGATTGATTCAGCCCCCCTTGCACAATATATCTTACTAGTATTACTTCAAACATCACCAGCTGCTTCAACACGGCAGATTATATAGTATAGCGAACAATGATTGAGAACTAGAAATAAGAGACTTAACTGGGAAAAACTTCAAAGAAGGGTTTGCTCTGATCTTAACTTTTGATGCACTTCAAACTTGAGTCAGTTGCCAAATTAAGATAAATATTTTCTTTTCTCCGGTTTGTATGCTGATTATGACTTGTCAAGGTTCCTCTGCAGATTTTAAGGGAAACCCATGTATATTGGGCACAAAATAGACTAAACTAATCATCAGCGATCATAATTTACTGTCAGCACTACTACATTCACAGAATATTATTATAGCATGCAACTCTGCATTTAAAGTATACATAAACTGAGAAGCGAGCTTACAATTTGACAGCATCAGTTATAGCACACATTTTTCGTTCCATTCAGGTCAGAGGGGGGTTACAAGTCGTACATACTGTAATTTGAGTACATATTTTGCTATGATATATCATATATATTAGGTTCACTAAATTATATTACAGGAGGAAGAGGCTTCCGGGAAAGAACACCAAAGACGGTTCACCTTCAGTTCAATTGAGGAGAAAACCAACCTGGTCGTTCTCTACACGGGGCTGCCACACAAAGATATGTTTTATCTCTTGCTAGAGCTGTGCCAGAGGTTCACCATAAGCTACCATGCGGGATGGCAGGTGCAGTCCATTGAGCTGGCTGACCAGCTATTCATGACTCTCGTCAAGCTGCGCTCGAACACCACCCACCTTGACCTTGCTGTTCGATTCAGCTGCAGCACTGCCACAGTCTCAAATGTGGTGCTCACATGGGTCAACATATTACACAAGGTGCTTTGCGATGGGCTGATGGGCCAGATTCCTTCGGTGAACAAGGCCTGTCTCCCGTCATGTTTTGCCAGCTTCACCAACTGCAGAATCATCCTCGACTGCACAGAGGTTGAAGCTGCTGTCCCAAAGGTATTAAATACAACTGAAGTTTTCAGCTTAGCCATATGAAGGAAATATGTATTATATTCTGCCATATCACACAAATACATTTCATTGCCTTAGTATCGAAGAGCATTCTGCTCTATCTTCCTAGCAGTGAATTTTTAGGTCACGGGCCTCAGGGTGCTGCCTCCGATTTGTTTTTTGGCAATCATTAACTTTATAAACTACAGAAGTAATACAATGTCAAATATAAAATGTCAGAAAAAAAAAAACACAAGAAAGAATTGCAGCTGCTACAGGACCTGAACGTACACAGCTCACATACCGTTCAATGTTTCACACATATCACATTCTCCTGCCTGACCTATATTTCTAGCAATTGTTTCGCAACACATGTGTTTTGAGTGCTTGTAATATTGGGTGCCTCAGCCCAAATTTGTAACAGCCTATATGTAGCTGGCAAGAAATGTTGCCAACACATACAGTACTGCCTGAAAGCAGATGCTGTCTTTGCCCAAGTGGTGATGTAACTTGTGAAGAACGTCAAAGTGCGATGATTAATGATAATCTTGTGAGAGACAAGTTTGAAATAGCTAAGTAAATAATTGATGCCATATAAAAACTCAAAACTTTTATAAAACATGTGCATAAATATCTACATGAACTCCTGGAACTTCTGCTTCTCCCCATGCACGCGGAAGCACCGTGGGAAAGCAGCAGTTCGGCTGAGCCTCGATCTGCTGGTTTTCTTGATCATGGTAGATCTCCATCAAAACATAACAAAAATCACACACGTCTTTGCTGCAGTCAAGCGCACTTCCCTCTTAAGAAGCTGGTATATAAGTTCTCAAACCTATGTGTTTCCTCTTAGCCCAGGTTTTCCGAAGAGCACTGAGTGAAATTTTATATTTTATAAATGTAAGATAATCTACCTTAAAATGTATAATTACTTACCCACTTTGTGGCGGAGGGTGTTAAGTATACATGACCCACTCGTGCCACTTCAAGAGATATAATTTGAGTGCTATTGTGTTTCAGGACAGTCTGAGCTAATCTGCTCATTTGTCTTTCAAAAATCCTCAATAACTTTGTTTTCATTTTTTTCTACAATGCAACAGGAGATGAAACTCCAGAACATCTTGTACAGCCCCTACAAGCGCAGCACTACTCTGAAAGGCCTGGTTGGTGTGGCGCCAAATGGGGTTGTGACGTATGTCAGCAAACTCTACCCAGGATCCAACACGGACAAAGATATCGTGAAGGACTGTGGCGTGCTAAAACAACTGGTGCCAGGGGACCTTGTCCTCGCAGACAAGGGCTTCCTGATCAGAGACCTCCTCCCTCCTGGAGTGAGCCTTAACATACCACCGTTCCTCTCAACGCCACAATTCACACCACAACAGGTCCTGCTGACGAAATCAATTGCCAGGGCCCGTGTGCACGTTGAGAGGGCGATCGGTCGCATTAAGGGCTACACGATACTGGAATACATTCCAGTTACATTTTTTCCCATCGCTTCAAAAGTCTGGGAAGTCTGTGCTGCTCTAACAAATTTCCAAAATCCACTTCTGAAGGAAGTCGAACAGTTTTACAGGCCGAAGAACTAGCCTGGAAGTAGCTTTTGTAAAAGGGGTGTGAATAATGATTTTCCAAATCAAATCGAGCGCGAATCGAATAATTTTCTATTAGTTACCGAAGAGTTGGGTGCAGACTATAAATTATTATGTTTTTTTAGAAAGCATTAAAAGAACAAAATGCTATATACAAATTACTAGAATTAAAAGGTGTGATTAGATAGAGGCAGAAACTATAACAGTTTGTACGAGTTTTCTGGCCACAGCAGGATTTTGGCAGAATGTAAAGTGCAAAAGAAGCATATAAATCACATCAAGAGGCCACTCGGAGTCAGTCAATACAAAGTATATACCCAAAACAGAAGAAACGAACAAGGTCAAGATGCGGAATGTGAGCTCACAACTCAGATAGCAGAAACAATTGCAAGAAAAAAATTATACAACTTGTAATTACACGTCTTTCCACAAGCCACATTGGGATAGAAGTAGTTGAAGATTTATAATTCAAAGCATGCAAGATTAATTTCATGAAAAAGTGTGCAGTTAACAGTATACGCGCAGTAGAAGACAGGTAGAATGACCCCATACGAACATTGACCGGTACTGCTCGCGATCATCCTGTATAGGTGTGTGGCAAAGGCCTGTGAAGAAAAATTTGTGGCATGAATCATTTAGAGTGGTACTGAATCTTCGAAAATTATTAGAAAAATATTTGAAACTTTAGAAAACATTTCATTCAGATGCTTAAGACGCTGAATCGAATAGGGCGATATTTGACCCCTTATTAGAAAATTATGCAGATTTTTGCACCCCTAACTGGTAAGCTACTCCCAGGTAAAGCGTGCACATCCACTATAAACTCATTACAAGTAATCTGGTTGAAGCAGACATTTGTATACTTATTTGCCAGGTTTGGCTGGTTTTTCTTCCTGCCGGTGATTCAACCTCGGATCTGCATAGTGCCCACTCTTTTTACAACGTACCAAAATGTTGTTCATCATCAAGGTCTGAATTACGAGTTTAGACTGTTCTAGGCCAAACGCACAGAAACCTCACCTTAGCTTACGTTTTTCATGCACCTATTGTTCTATATGTCGAAAAATGCCTTTTTAGCAACCCAGCTTGTAAATATATTGTGGGTGCAGCAGCATTTCACCAGTTTGGCCCCTGTGTTATGTGTTCAATTCTCGTACTGGTGAAAAATGTGTGTGTCATCACAAGTGGAAGTCACCTACTAAAGGCAGGTGTTTCTTTTTAGAGGTTTGCGTTATTAAGAAACAAGGAAAGTAATTCAGGACACCAACCGAACTCGCATGGCATGTTGCATTGCATGTTGTTATGTGCACTTCTTTTCTTGGATGAACTTTTGATTATTAAACTATATTTCAAACACAATAGTCGAGAGGCCATGGATGTTCTACAATAAATGAAACACGGATAACTTGGTATAATTTCAGTTGCCATCCATACTTTCCCCTAATTTCCTTACTCAAATACTGAATGCATAAGGATTTTTTGACCAAAAAAAAAGTTTCTTGGCTGTCTTTACCCTAAGAAAGGTGTATAGGCAGTTTAGACATGACTGAGCCATGCATTTAAGCCTTTGATTATAAGCTTCCTCACTAGCTTACATAGTGGCTAACAAGATTTGGAAGTCTCTTAATTATAATAATGCTCAATTCTCTGTTCTCAGCGAAGGTTGCTTGGGGGTTTCTGCTATTTTAAAAGATATTTGAGAATTTAAGTGTGGAACTGGAAGCCCCTGTATCTGTGAGGTATATGTCAATAAATATTTCCAAATGAATTCCTATAAATATGTGCCAGTGAGTACTGCTTGCTCCAGTCCCTACCTATTTAACATTGCATTCAGCTCACTGATGGAGAGAGCTCTGTAGAAAAAAAAAACAAAGTATAAAATACAGAGCGAGATTATTGAGGAACACTAAATAGTTCACAATGGAAGCTTGACAGGTCAGAGATGTAACTGTTTGAAAGACACAGCTAGTATAAAAAAATACTGAAGTCATATGCTTCAGACAAAAACTAAATATATGTGGCTGCAGTAATGATTAACAGCTGGGCTGGTCATGTCTTCCTTCGTCTTCACTCATTGAATGATGTCTCTTGATGTGTAGTAGTGCGAAATGCATGCAGCCATGTCTCTCGTGTAGAAAAGACAGGATTCGTTAGATTGAACTGGATCATTTTCAGTTTCTTTTATTTTGCATGAATAATTATAGACAACAAACTGTACAGAGCATGACATAGTAGGCATAAACCAATGAACAATGGCTTTTATATTTGTGGTTAAATGCGAGAATAATGCGAGAAAATGCAATGTCATGTTTAGACTGCCTGAGTTGAGAATGTGGAGCTAAAAATACACTAGCATGTGCATAGTTCCCCTCTGTAGCAATACTAGTAAACATGTTTTGTATCAATTCGTGGCAAAAAGATGCTCCTAACATGAGAAGTAGTAAACAAATGACCAAATGTGTGATGATGAAGAGCAGCACCTGTAAATGCCTTTGTGTTCGAGTTCAGGGACATACGTAAGATGAGCATGAAAGTCAGTGTTGGGTAAAGTACACCTAAAAAGTATTTCAAGTAAAGTACCAAGTAAATGAGACGTGATGTACTTCAAGTAAAGTAGTAAGTACACTGGCTGCAATGTACTTGAAGTAAAGTACTATAAATACAATGTACTTTAAGTAAAGTAGTAAGTACACTGGCCAGTACTTGAAGTAAAGTACTATAAATACAATGTACTTTAAGTAAAGTACTACATGCTCAGAGAATGTACTTCAAGTAAAGTACAAGTTACCTAAACCTACTTGAAAAAGTACTTTTAAGTACAATGTACTTAAAGTACTTCCCAACACTGATTAAAGTACACGCAAGCTGGTCAGCTATCATGACTGTAGTAACCGTGAGACAAGAATCATGATTACTTTAATCATGATCTACATATTGCTAGTACGTGAATAAGTGTGGAATAAAAGTGTCATGATAAAAGTGCAGTAGAATGTTGAGATTAGCTGCCCACTCTGCATCCTTCTTAATGCCAACAGTGATACTGCCTTTTGGGTTCCAGATCGTGAGGTACCCCTTAGTTCGCTTCGCAAAATACATCTGAGCTTGGAGTTGGTGGTAGTGGTCATGGCCTTTGTTCACAAGCACGCTGCTGCCATCATAACGTAGGCTGTAGTCCTTGGCGTCCTTCAAGTGGCATAGCAACGACCCCTCACGAAATTTCCATGGGCATTTTACTTCAAGAACAGCCTCGTCTCCAACAAGACCATCTGGTGATGCACCTAACAGGCCCGACTCGTGCAGCCAGAGCCCTGTTGGCGTTGGCGTCAGGCTGGTGGCTTCGCTAAATGCCTTGATAGCATCTGGTTCGTGGATGATGCCCCATTGGACAGCTTTTACACCTTCCAGTGAGTATTCGCCAAGTAGGTGACGAAAGAGTGAAGGAGGAAAGCTGTCGTTCTCACACGCCTTGAGGACTTTTCCAAAGTTACTCGCGGTCAGGCGTAGCTTTCTCTCCACTTGCCACAGCGGATTTGTGCGTTGTCCAGCTGTAGACTCTGCCAGCTGCTGGATCTCTTCACGTGACTTTGCGGCTTTCTCAACCAGATAGGCGGTTCGGTCGGCTGCCTGGGTGTATTCATCACTAAATATTAGGTCCTCAATAGTGACATGAATGGGCATGTCTGGCTCTCTGGACAACAGCCATGTGTAGCCAACTGTGGCCCCAAGAGCATCCAGGCGACTCCTAATCCAGTCTTTGTCCTCCTCACTAACGGGCCGATTCAGTGAAGCGGAAGTACATGGACTCGGAATCAGAGTCTCGACTGGTCCAACCTGTCTGTCCTTTGAAGTCGTCTTCATGGTCCATGTGCAAGCTCGATCTGTGCAGGAAATATTTTTATGAGCAAAGAGGAGGAGAGCTGCCATGTGATGGCATCGAAGGGAACCTCGAGGGCAGTTGCAGGTGGCCCTGGCCACAGTCTTGGGGTTCGTCATTTCAACCTGAAGAAAAAGATTTTTTTATAAAATTCCCTAGTTCAGCTCTATGTACCTGTCATTAGAATTTCCTGTTTGCAAAATCTTACTCAGCTTCACGAGCATGCTTCTTTGAAGCTTGACAGCGACATATAGCTATATCCCAATTAATTTTTTAAAATGTATTTATATGTTATTTTCTCAATTCGATAGATGAAAACAATTAAGAGGGGTCTTCTAAGTTGTCTAAAGTTCTTATAACTACAATGTATTTTACATTGAACTATATATTTTCGCGGTTTCAACGTAAATCAATGATTACAAGAGGGGTCTTTTTAATTGCGCACAATTAAAAAATCAGCCTTCTACAATGAAATTAACAACACTAAAAAGGGGCCCACTAGTCTACAGTTATTAAAATTACGATGCATTTTACAGGTTGTACTCGCATCGCGGGTTCGATGGAGATCTTCAACAAAAGATCACATCCACAAAATTTGATGTATACAAAAAAAAAAAAAAAAAAAAAGCAAACTAGTGCGAAATTGCGATAGACATGCGATTCTTTAATAACCTGACAACCTTAATAATAATAATAATAAACGACTTACCTCGACGGCGTACGATCTGTTTTTCATGCTGGCCTGCACTACGCCGGTAAATCACTTAAGATCGTCGTCGTAACTGATTTGCATGACATGGTTGGACTTAACGGCATTTTCACCCCTTTCAACTAAACTCGGTTCTTCACAGAAAAAAACGCACAATGCGGAGGCCTCTACTGCCATAGCGATGCACTTGTTTTTGCCGCAATAGACGCCCGCTGCAACCGTGTCGTCTGCTACCAAAGCAAAGCGAAGTGTAATACTCCCAAAATGGCTTTCATCGTCGGAATACGACACTGAGACGACAATAACATCTTAATAATTAGATATCAAAAAGTTAGGTTGCTTACAAAAAATTATTTACTTACTCGTAAGCAAACATTTAGCCACATCTGGAGTCTCCATGCATTGGTCCATAGCAACGTCCCTAGCAACGGTTTGTTTGGACCCAGACGCCATGTTGTGACGTCATCACTTACGGGGTCAATTGTCATTATATCAAAATATTTTACACTTCCCTTTGAATTCTATATATACGGGTTTGAATGTATCACTGTAACGAAGTGGTCATTCACTGCTGTCGCAACACTCTAGCTCCCGCCCCCGGTGTAAGAAGGCTCTTTAGGTGTAGAGACTCCGCTCTCCGCCGCGACCAGATAATGACACCCTGCGCGCTTCACTTCACGGAGCCACCCCTAGATGGCGCCGTAAGTTTCAGGCCATCCGGCAGCGTACCGGGCTACTTGTGCTAGCTGCCTGCTCGGCGTACAGCTTGCTTTCGGTGGCTACGGGTTCGCGTACGATGTGGTATGTAGGTGGGGCCACTATCATCTCTCTCAGCACACTGATGTTTACATAACCCGAAAAATGGCAGGCGGACAAACAAGAGTAACTCCCTAATACCAGCTGACGCGGGGGTCTACGAGTGAGAAAGAAATATCCCTCTGCTGTAGATAATTTCTAGCCTAGCTTACATTAACGTCGGTAAGCGTTTGTAAAATGAATAAACTCTGAATGCATCGCAGGTAAACGATAACTTGAGTGCGACCGAAAGAAAAAAAAAAAAGAATGCACAAAAATAAAGAATGTTTAACACAAACCTTGTTAGCGGATAATAAACTGAATTGTTTTAAGCTCCGTTCGCGTGACTTTTCTAAAAAAATATATATATTGGGTTCGCAAATTACTGTTAATTCAACTGGACAAATAAAAAAAAAAATTTTTTTCAACATGCGGGGCAGCTAACGTGATTATTCTTTTACATATTAAGGCAGCCTTTGAGTCCTGCTAAATTGAACTGCTGACCGAACTGGCACGAAGTTACACATTTTGCACGCAGTTTAATGAAAGCAGCTTTCTTTGAAAGGTTTACTTTGTTAGTACACTTACGTTGGCATGTAGCAGATTGCAACAAAAGTTTATAGTAACCACACTCGTCAAGGAAAACAAACCGGTTGTATTAATGGCACTTCTGATATAAGTATAATAATAATACAATCACAAACTTAAAAAAAAATAAAAGAAAATTGCTGTAAAAAGAGATGCTGTTCAAACATTGCTTAATGTATGACATACTCTATAGTTGCTTTTGGAGTTCTTTTCTACATTACGAGTCGCACAATCGGGACTCTTCCTTCTTCTCTAGAGACTACTTCTTTGCATCTCGGTTTTTACCTTTGAAGTCCTGTTGCATTCTCATGCGATCCGAACCCTTTTGCACGTTCGACTGAAACCAGAGAAGCGTCTGCCTTCCACGGAGGTGTCTGCATTCCACGAGAACGCCAGACAGAATCCGACCCTGAACAGATGGGCAGTCTGTTGTGTCTGCGTCTACCGCATGCAAGACAATCCCATACTAGTCGCCCTCAATTCGGAGAAGAACAACAACCGAGCATGTGACTGATGCATTCGGCAGACGTCTTTATCCTGATCGTCTCTTTTACTAATATTTTCATGTCATTGTTTTCCCTTTCTAAAATGTTCACGTTTCCCCAGGCTGGAGAGCAGTCGGCGTGTTCATTCAAATGTTTGGCCATTTCCAAGTTCGGATCTTTGGTTTTTTACATTTCTTTTATGCTCTTTTCACCATTGCAAAAAAAAAAAAAAAATTGGAAACAATTAGAGGGGGCGGAAGCAATGGGTGACTTGGCCCACGTTTCGGCAGAGGGCCGGCGACCGGATGGCCTGAACGTTTTGGCGCCCTCTAGGGGCAGGCGGAGAAAACATAGGAAAGGAGGGGAGATGATGTGTTCGCCGTTCCGACGGGGCGAGGAGAGGAGTCTCCACACCTAAAGAGCCTTCCTACACCGTGCTCCCGCCTTTGTCCGTGCCCTCCCGACGCAAGGGACTCACGTCTGGCACGCCCTGGCCTGCTGCTGGAGCTTGTGCGAGTGGATCTCCGCCTCCCGCACGTAGGGCACGGCCTTCTCAGTCGCAGGGCTCAGCTTCTCCAGGAACGTCTGCAGTTGGTCCACCATGTCTCGCAGACGGGCAGAGTTCTCACGCAGGCCCTGGGGGCAAAACGGGCCGGGGCGGTCATAATCTGGAGGTGCGTTGCATCGTCAAAGGTGCATTCCATATTCGCCCGCATTATACTTCACGAAACCGACGGGCACACTATTCTGGCAGGGGCAGTAGTGACACTGAATGCACCTCGTCGCTTCGCGGTGATGTTCAGCGCCATTTTGAGACATGCAATGCCATCTGGGATATTAAGAAGGAACTCTGCTTGAAGTTTCCGTTTCATTTTTTTTTCTCTTCTGCGAGGGGGCGTTATTTTGCGTGACTTTAAAGTTCCAAGATCGTGAGTGATCGTACAGGCACAGCGTCTTCGCTGCACGCCGACGCCCCTCAGCAACATCACCTGTCTCGTGATTCCGGTGCATATGCAATTAGTTTTCTGGATAAAAGTGGCAGCAGTGAGTCAGAAGATGACTTTCATTGGATCTTAGTTTCAATTGTGGCAGTGGGTCGAACCAGCAGGAATTATCCACAGGTGCCTGTCGGTACGTTTCGTGTTAGCTCGCTGAAGGCATTTCTTGCCTCCGTGAGCTTCTGTGGACACACTGGGTGTGTTCGAAACGCTTTATTTTTCACCTGCAGGGCGTCAACCTTACGTACAATTGGTTTTATGCTGTCAGCAGGAAAACGAGTGGAGTTTTCTCTGAAAAAGCGGCCCGGTCCTGACCTCGGCATCAGGCTACGGAGTAGCATGGAACGAGTTGGGTGGGGCTTTAAGGAATGGTACGGTCGTCACAAGGGCTGCAGAACAAGAGGTTTTGCATGGAAACTTTTCAAATTCGCAGGACTTGTTTCTAGAAAAGTAAGCTACAAAATATATGTTTTAATTTTTTTTACTCCTAATACTTTGCAAGGTACATCAAATCAAAATAACTTCTGCATTGGTTACACAAAATTTGACATTACATTTTTTGTGCTACATAATATCTTAATGACATTTTCGTTTTTGAAAAGAGAATTCCTTTAGCTACATTTTGGTATGCTTTGTACAGAATTATACCTAGTAGGGATATTCGCAGCTAAACAATTTTTCCTTGAGATCACCCCATAACAGCCTCTTTTCCTGTAGTAAGAAAGATTTAAGTTTACTCCACTAGCAAGCATATTATGTAAGATTCTGAGCGCATTTCCCAACACTCCTTGTGAAAGGCCATCGCTTTCAGTAAGGTAGCATGGGTGCTCACCTCATAGGCGTTTTCTGCGTCCGGGTAGTAGTCCTGGCAGGCCCGAAGGAGTTCCCTGGCCTCCTTCTGAAGTGCCTCGGACTGCAACTTGAGCTCCTCGCTTTGGGCAATGATCCCCTGAACCAAGCCACAAAGAATATTCAATTGGAATAATCCGCCAGCACACAGAGCCACCAAAGACGAGGTAACAAAATTCCATGAACTCATTGTAGAGTGACAATAACATACAATTTATCTCAATTGTGTTTCACTTGTCTTACCTATCTTACTAATCCTTTTAACTTGTTTTTGTACATTTTTCTTGTTTTGCCGTTATGTTTAGATATTTGTTACTTTATAATAATAATAATATTCTCTATTTTGGGTGCCCAAAAACAACCAGATCGGTCTTCCCCTTGGTGCACCAACACAAACAGCAAAACCAGCAAACAAACAAAAAATCCTAAACACACATAAAGTTAAGAGACAAATGTAAGATTATCCAAATGGCGACGGTACATTGAACAGCTGCAGATATATCAAGGTGGGGTGGAGCAATGGCGTTATAGAATGACTGAATCCGAGAGAGAGGTGAGGCATTGCACAGTGGGTGAACATAGAAGCAAACAAAATGTCCGGTTAGACGTGAATACAATATATTCTATATTGTACCCTACATAATATCCTCCCTTGGAGAGCCTTAAGGGTATGTTGAATAAATAAATAGATAAGAAGGTTTGAAAGTGCACTACACAACAAGTAACAATGCAGCTAGAAAAAATTGCAAAATACAAAACAAAACAAAAATCACATTATATTACTGGTTACATTAAGGGGGACACTACCCAAAAGAGTTAACTTTTGAACCTTTTGCTTATTATGAATTAAATTTACAGTATATACTGGCAGTTGTGAGGCAGAATGCAGTGCAAAGCTTCATCTGCATACATGAATTGTCAAATAAATTATAGTCGTTTTTATCAGAAACACACTGACTTTGTTTGAGAAAACTATCGTTTGAAAAATAATGTAATACCAAACGTTTTTCTTCACTAGATCTGTAGCAGAATGCCTCAGCGTTGACAAACGTGCATGCAAGATGCCATTTGTTTAGGCTTTTACTTTAGAACAGTTATTGCTACAGACGCCAGCACATGCAACGCGTGGAACACCATTCCCTGCATTCTCCTCGATGCTTGGGTAATTTAGCAATAGGTCTATTAAGTAGATAAGTTATCAATAGGCACCATTTTCAAGATCAGTAGACTCCCAGGTAGATAATAAAAGTTTCTCGAAGATTTGCCACTGTGCGACCAGCGTCGGCCATGTTTACGCTCGCACTGCCCTCTATTTGTCGTCAAAGTCAAAAAGCCAAATTGGATGTTTAGTGTTTATACAGCGTAAGGTCGCTCTGCCAGGGGGGGGGGCGACACTAGTTTACACTGTAGATGAGCAATTTTGCCAGTACAGTACGACTGCTAGCCTGGGTCTTTAACGTGCATCACGCAGTAGTGATACACGACCACACACCGGTACGATGCTCATCCAGATCGAAACGGGCAGGGGTGGGGCTCGAACCCTGGCTTCTGCAGCGCGAGCTTTCGCTCTACGCGCGTCAAGCTGGGTGTGCACTGTAGCCCACTCGGCCATTGATTCCCCCCTCTTAGTCGTCGTTCTCAGCTCTTGCCTGCCTAGTTTCCTTTCCTTCCTGTCTCCCGGAGGGGTGCTCCTGTTGTGCATGTCTAGTTTCCTCCAGCTCCTTAGGGCGGGTCTGTTTTGTGTGCTCAACAGCTTCGCAGGTCATGCACCTTCACACAGTGGAGTAACTTATGATTTCCGTGTTTTTTGTCAAATATGATATAGAAAAAAAAACATTTGCATACAGCAAGCTGGTTTATTAAGCCCCTCAATTAGCATAGCTGCGACAAATATGTCATTTACATGCCCCAGTTAATAAATATAGTTATATCAAAATTAACCGAGCTTAGAAGTGGACAAGCGGAAGGTTGGGAACCATGGGCGCCGACTACAAGGGACCTTGTTACCATGATCAATGGCAACATGAGAAAGAGAGGTCTGTGGAGGGCAACTGCTCTCGGAGCAACGTGATTTTTAATATGGTGCACTGCACGTTAGCATGGAGCAGAGCCTCTGGCTCAGGATGGCAGATGCACTCACCCTGAACGGGGAGCTGTTAGCCGTGTTCTGCAGGTGGGCCACCTCCCGCACCATGTCCTCGACCCTCTGGGTGTGGTTGGCCAGCTCGTAGAGGCGCCCCTCCAGCTCCTCCGCCATCGTCTGCCGCAGGTCCTCCAGGGTTGCGTCGTTCTGCACCGCCGGCAGCGAGAAGTTCTGCGCACGCTCCAGGCCTGCAACGGCACGCAGTGGGCACCTTCAGCAGAGAGTAGAGAGGCACGGATGTCGAGCACTCGGCGACTTATTACAAGGAGGATTAGCCAGGGCCAAGGCCACTCATCCTTCTATAAAAACAAAAGGAAGAGCTAAAAGGAGGGTAAAAAAAAAATTGACTGCATCTCCACGTGGTGAATGATGTTGATTGGGGTAAAGCTCTGGTGGTGCTTGTCTGCGCAGATGCTGAGCCGCAGCATGCCGAGCATTTCGTTCCTTTTCATCCATGTCAGAAAGAGAATGTGTAGTATGGAACGTGGTTATATACGCATTTGAGCATTTGACCGCAGCGCCTTCTCGTCTATTAACGTTGAGCCAATGCATGCAAAGTTTAACGCAATTATATACGCATTTGACCGCAGCGCCCTTTCCTGTATAGACGTTGAGCGGCTACATGCAACCTTTCATCCATGACACCCCCAGCTCTTAAGCTACTACCAGATCTCAGAGCCCTCTACTCGTCTTGCAGTCGTGGCCGAGTGGTTAAGGCAATGGACTAGAAATCCATTGGGGTCTCCCAGCACAGGTTCGAATCCTGTCCACTGCGCAAACTTTTTTTTTTTTCATTTTTTTTTTGCACGAGCATGTGAGCACGTGAGCTCACGAGCACGAGCACCAGCAAGATCGATGTGAGCACGGACACCGGACGGACAAGGCTAGACCCTAAGGAGCTTTGCCCCTAAAAGCCATCACTTCAACAAATCTGCAATGATAATATTAAGGCTAGGTTGCAGCAGCATACGTGACATCACAGTTTACACTGGCCTATTGTCTGTCTGAAATTTTATTGCAATTTTATTTTGCTCTTTAAATACTAGATAGCATTATTAAGGTCACCCTTTCTTCGTGTTGGCGCCGTGGATGTAGCCTCGATGGAGAAGAGCGATCAGTCGCCCATCTGTTCTTGGACTGAGGACTTCTCTCGGTAAATGCTCAACAGAAGAAAAGCAGACCAAAAGCAATATGAAAGCTTTTGCTTGCAGCCTTTGTATATCACCAAAATCCTGCAGGAGCGACAACGGCAGGTGCAGCTTGGTGAAAAAAGAGCAGCGAGGGACTCGGCTGCCAAAAGGAGAGTGTTGGACCCAGTAGTGACACAAAGTCAGTCGCTCTTAGTGGCCGCCCGGCAGTTCAAGTGCCAGTTTACATATATAACCCATTTAGTATGGCGATAACGTCCAAGACAGACTGGTTTTAGACGGACGGGAGCAAAAAAGGGGCTTCTAAATGCTACAACGCCTTAGGTAAATGCCAAAGACTGCTATTGAACAAATATTCTAATAGTTATAATTAACAATACACTATTCAATATCTGCTTCGAGATGAACTGCGATATTCTCGCTTTTACAGCGTACCTGTTAAGGGCTAGTTTCCCCAGGATCGTGTCCACCAGCAAAGAAATGATGACACCGAACTCTGGACACCTGCTGCCATCTATGAGCGATGGCGGCAACCACACAACTGCTTGCCGCCGTCGCTCGTAGATGGCAGCAACCTTTTTTTCGGAGGAAGAAAAGTGGGAGTGGAACGAGCGGCGATGTGCGCAACAGCGTGAATGGTTTCGCAATTGCTGCGAAGCCGCTATCACCCAAAGTTCCACCGCGTCGAACGGCTCAGATTCCCTTGGAATAGAAGAGCAGATTGCTCGCCTGGAAAGACATCACCGAGAACAGAAGCTACAGCTCCGCTGCTCTTCCTTCTTTACTAAAGTGGAAAGGCTGAACGTTTTTTTTTTTTAGTGCGGAAGCATTAACTGTCCCATGGAGCGAGCCGATGTCATCAGCCGTGCGAAATGGCAGATAAATTCGTGAAGCCACGATTTGAGGCATCCCAGCTTTGAAGCCGCATAAAACGCCACACAAAACGGCCAATAAATGAGGCCGCCGCGCGTCAGTTTCAATTAGCACCAATCCATGGCGCTGCCTGCCCGCATCTCCAGCGCACTAATAAATGGAATCGGCTGGCGCGCTCGGGTGGCGGCACGGCTGCCGGAGCATGCCGGCCGATTCCTGCAGCTGATTCTGTGCCACTGCGGCACGGCCGGTGTCAGCGAGGCGCGGCAACTTCACGAGGACGTGTGCAAGAACGACATTCATACTTTCGCATTCACAACTCATAAGAAGCCTTTTTTGTTGCCAAATTGGAACTTGGAAAAATAATATTTGCATATAGCAAGCCGACTTATAACACCCCTCGATTAGGATAGCTGTGACAATTTTGTCGTTTACATGACATAGTTAATAAACATAGCTATAAGAAAATTAACCAAGCTTAGATGCGGACAAGTGGAAGGTTAGGAACAACCTGCATGAGTTGAGCTGGAGTTTTCTTTAAACGCATGGCACACGGTAGTGGAAGGCTTCGAGAAACTATTCGATATTCGATTTAAAAATATTCGGTCAAAATCGCCATTCGCTTCGAAATGGCTTCCAACTCAAGATTCACTCTTCGCACAGGGTTACTAAAGAGACAGCCAATTTTTAACTCGGCCAATTGTCTACCACATGCTAAGACGACAAAAATAGCAGGTGCCACATCTTTGCAGTAGATTTGGAGCCATCTTAAATCGCCGGCGCGGTTTTCGAAGCGCGTGTCCGGTTGGCCGACGGAGGCAACCTTAGTGCCATTAGAACCAAAGCAATGGATCGATTCATCGCGGCGGCGGAGAAGTGAACGAAACACCCACCTTCTCTGGCCTGCGCCAGCTCTTCCTCTGCTTCGGCGAAGGGCCTCATGAACTCGGTGGCATTGAGAAGCTCCACGATGCGGGTGGCTTCGTCGAGCAGCGGCTCCACGTTGGCGGTAGAAGTCGAGCCCAGGCCCTCGGAGAAGGCTGTCAGGCTGCTCAGAATGTCTAAAGAGACGGGGCAGAATGGAGCAGCTAGAAGAGCTATGCTTCACACTTTTGGGGGTTTATTTTTCTTAGTTTGGGGCTGTTTTTTCTGGGTTTATTTTTCTTCTTGGATTCAGTGTTTTTCATAGTAAATTTTGGATGTCAGGCAAAAAATCTGCACTTATGGGTGCTTAAGTTAAAAAAATAAGACATGGACGTCGAATTCCTCGCTCCTCAACGAAACAAACGCGTGATGCAAATACTTGTAAAACATCCTAGTACCGATGAGAAGATGAAAGGAGAAAACTGGCATGGCACAGTTCTTGACGAAAGCAGCTGCAATGAGGGTCAGTTCGGGGGGCTGTCCCGGGTCAGTACAGAATAAAGCTGTACATAAGGCTCTTCTTTCTCCAAAGCTTACTGGAATTCTCTCATCCAAGGACAGCTCCAATTAGGGTTTCTTTGGTGTTTCCTCCAATTTTTAGTGCAAAACATTCTTTGGCTAGGAGCTCTGCATTTCGTGAAGCCCAAAAGTAAAACCTGGATCAAAGTGTGGCTGTAAGGCTTGACACTGATTCGTTTTGAGCGGGGGGAAGAGGCCATCGGCAGTAAAAGTGCGTTTGCACTTAGTGAAAATCGCACCCAGACCTATAAGATTTATTAAGTGGGCGTTTTTCCAGCATGTCACAACACGTCGGCGTAAGTAGAGCTGCTATTTGGAAGAAAAGCCCTGCAGGGCGTCCACTCTGCGTCTGGCAGATGTCAACTGGACACCCTGTCACACCTTTTGAAAACCCGGGTCAGCGCCAGGAATCGAGTGCACATGCCACGCATTAAGCCAGCTCACAAAAACTAACGCACAAAAAGAGAGCATAGATGCCACACGTTTAACATGCAACACAATTGCCCAGTTTTTCACAATGTTTCAGTCGTCATCGAAAACATCGAGCCCTACTTACGACACACATTATCTGAAATTTCAGGAAATACGCCGTATCTAAAGTGCGAAAAGCCGCATTTTCAAATCGTAATGGCTGCCCATTGCACCCGCTCTGCACAGGCAACAAAATGGCAATGCCCGCAAGACAATCGGGGGAATACAGTGCCGATACGCCGAGCGTAGCTTACTCAGTGGGTCTAGTGAGGAAGACACAAATCCAACGAGGGAAAGAAGGAAGCGGTTGTCAAGATTAAAAAGACACCTGGCTGACCCTTAAATCTCACCAGCCGCTTTCCTTTCTACCCTCGTCCACGCTGGCTTCCTCGTTCGTCGGCCGTCGTGACACGTCGTCAACTACTTCGACGGAAGCAGCCGAGCTTTAAATTAAAACGCACAAAACGGTACCTCGCATCTCCTGGACCGTCTTCTCCACGTTGAGCTCTTCCCGGTCGGCTTCCAGCCTGGTCTTGTACGCCGTGTGGATGTTCGCCGTAGCCGAGAGCGCCAGGCTCGAAGCCTGCACGAAAAAGAGCAGAAATCGTCGGTGGTTGCGCGCCCTCCCCAGAGGTACAGCACCCGTTACGCGTGGCGTGATTTACAACGTCTCGGTTTGCCGATTCCTCCATTTCCACCCGATCACGTTGCACGTCTGTCGCGCCGGCGTGATCCCAGCGGTGGCGGAGCAGCGGCATGAGCTGCAGATGCCTGTTCCGCTGCAGCTCGTTTAGCAGCCAGACGGTCGATGGAAACCGAAGCAGACCCGAAATGGGACACTGGGACGGCGGGGACCGTTGTTTCCAATCGCCTTTTTTGCCGGCATTTCTACCACCAACCGTCACAATCGCGACATCCAACAGCATGACAGACCGTCTTCTGCGACTTAATCTGAGGCCACATCCCAGCCACTTGCAACACACAGAGAGTGTAGTGCAGTAAACACACCAGTCAAAGGCGTGTTCCAGGCGTTGTGCACCCGAAACGCGTCTCTGACCGGTGAGCTTGGCATCCCATACTGGCAATGCATCAAAAGCGGCTCCGAGTGGCAACTGGCGTTGCAGAAGCCATCATGTCGTGCTGTCGGACGTCGCGATCCTGACAGCTTGTCGAAGAAGGTTGTGGGGATCGTGATCCCTGAACATTCTGTCGCGTCAGCGTTTTGGCGCGCCGTGGCGGCCGCGCTGACGTAGCGAGAGGTGGCACTGCTTATCACTGAGTGGCTTCCTCCTTTCCCCCCTGGGGGCGATTTTCGTAATGAACCCCCGCAGAAAGGAGATAGACGTGTCGCTCCTTGATTAGCCACTTCGCCCCGCCGTTATCTTAAAACCAGCGAACAGCGAGATCTTTCTCTCTCTTCTTCCTGGGATTCGGCGGCGGCGACAACGGGGAACCGCCCGGCGCACCGGTGAGCATTTACCTCGTCCTTTGTATCTTTGTGAACGACTGTTCGGCCGTGGGCGATTTCCACACCAACGGCGTTCACCAGCTGATAGCCGCTGTTTTCTTATTTGTTTCGTTGTTAATAAACAGAGTTTATCACCGTCACCAACGTGACTGGTGTCTGATTGCGCTCAAAGAGCAGCATGCCATGCGAGTACGAACTCGCTTCGTGGTAGAGCGTCTCACCGCGAACGTGGTACTCCCAAAGGCAGTGGCCCAAAGGAGAACCACAAGGTCTGGCAAAAAACTAGGAGCGAACGCATCGCAACTAATGGCCGCCGAAGCTTTTGTGGAGAGTCAAGCCAGAGAGCAGCCTACCGCATCTACCTCCGCTTTTGTGTGGATCGTGGGAGGCGACAACACTTCATGATGTGAGTGGGTGGACGGAGAAGCTTTCCAGGCACCATAGTAATGAAGGCGAGAGAATGACTCACGTCCTTGCGCACTGTCGAGGCCAGTGCTTCCAGATCGCTGACGTTCTGCGCCAGGGGGCTCACGTCCAGGGAGGCGGGCTTTCCGCTGAAGCTCATCAGCTGCTCCTGTCGAGGGAAAGAGCGTCTTATTTTATTTTCTCGTAGTCTCGCAAAGCACGGAGAGTACTCTGTCGAGAAAAAGAGGCGACAAATTCGGTGCACCAACGTTTGCTCTGCACGTGGCATCGCAACGGCAGTTGTTAGACTTTGCACAAAGCGAACGCGCCGTCGGGTAAAGTTCATTGATTGTTTGCGGCATACGGTGAAACACCACTAAAACAAACAGCTGAAGAAAATTTTGTAAACTTGCCCAGCAAAACAGCACTATGTCCACTGCATCCAATTAAGTGAACTCCCACTTTAGCAAACTTTTTTTTTAGGTCCCTCAAAGTTTGTTTGAGTGTTATTTCACCGTATTTGCTCCATGAAGTCCGGCCTCAACATGGTACTTGGGAAGTATGAGCCCATTTCAGATAATATATTCAAAGGGACCATACCATTGTGAGCATAATAAAATTTATATATATCCAAATATAAAGCTGGGAACATTTGCCATTATTTTCCCTGTTCGTTTGCATGTAAGGAATTGTTTATTAGCTCGATCAATGACAGAACTGAAGAATTGGGGCTGTATTTGGGTCGCTTAAAGGGGTACTACAACAAAATTTCGGCGCTCATTTCTTGGTCTATATGTGTTCAAAGGAGCAGCATCACATCGAACATACCAATATCTTGTAAAAAAGGCTCGAAAAGAAATTTTAAGACTAATTAAACGATTAGCAAAGAGCACCTGATGGATGTCACTAACGCCTCGCTTGTAATGTCCGTCTAGGAACCTTGACAGCTAGTGACGGAGGTTGTGTCGCCTCCGGCCACGACGAGAGAAGGGGGAAAGGAGGAACTCCCCTCTTCCCGAGAATGCCTTTTGTGTGCCGTAGTAGTCGTTATTGTCCCCCTACAAGATTATAGAAGATTAACCCGTCGCTCAAAATTCGTACAAAAGCAGCCGCTTCGGTGGCTGGAACGACTAGGCCATCCTCTCGACGTCAGCCTCGCCGTAGCTTTGCTCGTCTTGAGACGACCTACGTCACGATTGCGTTGGATGTCACGTGGTCTCCGCTGGGCCTTCTCCGAGCGCTTGCCAGAGTGGGCCGTTTATAACGAAAAATACAGCCACCAGAATCAATATACAAACGTGCGATTGTCATTTACGGATATTAGGAATCATATTCAACCTATTTTTGAACACAACGGGAATCTTTCAAATATTGTTGAAGTATCCGTTTAAACCCAACAGTACTCCGTTTTTTCCCCCTTGAGAACTAGATCGGCAGCATATGCCGGAGCCATTTCATTCAACAAGCCGACTTCTCGAGCGCCGGCTCGTCTTAGCCATAATAAAAAGTGGTATGTATAAAAACTGAGTACCACCCGAAGCTCTTTTATCTCATCAGCTGCTCCATCAGACGCAGTCGATTACAAAAGAAGGAAATTTGAGCGAGCTGGAAAACACTGCCTTTGTGACCAATAATACACAGAGCATAGGTGTCCACCATGAAATCCGGTGAGATTTGAAGCCTGAAATACCAAGAAAAAAAACTGAGGTACACCTAAGCACTTCTTATGAGTTGTGAGTGCGAAAGCATGTGCATCATTCTTGCTCTACGCGTGTTGGCGCGCCGGCTGGCGCTGACCTGGCGCTGCGTGTCCGGCGAATGGGAGCCTGGTCGACGTGCGCTAGCCAATGGGATCGAAACGGCGTAAAAGGTGCCATGGCTAACCGGCGAATGGGAGCTAGCTTGATTTGGAGAGCATTTAAGAGCCGTTTGCGTGGCTTCAAAGGTGATGACGTCGGCTCGCTTCATGAGACAGTTAATGCTTTCGCATTCAAAACCGAGTATGCACCCATGTCTCAATAAGTGCCCACCCCTTACTACAGAAACATTTCAAATATAAGCCGAGAAAATATGAAGCGTCCATCCCAACAAACTTCTGAGCCCACCGAGCTAACTGAAGTGCTTCACCACACTGGATGCCTCTTCAAGAAGACAGCGCGATGCAGTAGAGCAGGCTTGACGAGAGTGCCATGTCTGCTTTGAAAATTAGGGTTTTGCCAGACCCCTATATATCTCCTATACTGTTCAATCGGATCAAACAAAAACCTGCCCTACCACGTAGCCCTTCTGCTTTTCTGCTTTCAAACCGAACAAGCACTCATCCCCATATTTTTAAATGATCTCCCGTACAAGAAAACAGTGCCAAATAAATGCCAGGGCAATGATAGACAAAACAGGAGCACTCTGTACTGTTTCTGTCTATTTTTTTCCTTACGTTTATTAGGTGCCGCTTTCTCGTACACGACAGACCTACCAGCCCAAACCACCACTTGCTATCTTTAACTTTGCATGACGCTTGCTCGGTATTTTACGGTATGTTACATGAAACAGGTCCAGAGCGCCTACGCAAACTTCCGCACCTGAGTGCACCTAATAACATTGCTCTCAATAACTCAAGAAAAAAGTAAGCTTTGCTCACGGTTCATACGTAGCGCGAGGTAGTTCTTACAAGATTTGATTGTGGGAGAAGGAAACAATGCTCTTGGCCTTTGGAATTTGTATGTCTTAATTGATAAAATAATTTACAGCTAATCTAAATGCCACCAAGATATATTTTAATTTGCTACATAAAGAAGAAAATAATTGATGCTCCGCAAGGAGCTGCACTTTTAAGGCGTTAGCGTTATAGGGCCAGCCAACCTCAGGAGCTGCCCAAGCACAAAATGTGTAGGTAGGTCAGTTTCTAACCACTAGACGATTCCGAAAAAGAGCGGTGACCGGTGCCAGAGATTGAACCCGCCACCGGCGTGGAAGCCGAGTGCGGTGCTGACCGAGCTACAAGCCCAGCACGCAAAAACGGGAGGAGCAGAAGCAGGTGGTGTAAGGTGGCACGAAGAGCAGAGGGGTGGAAAGAGCGAGAAAGCGTGCTTCACTTCTCTAGGTGACCCAGAAAATTCAGTGCAAAGGCTTTGCATCCGGGGGGTGCTGAAGGGAAGCGCGCTCAGTGTCAGAAAGAGACAATGGTGTGATGCAATTCGTTTCCATAAGAAACCCTGCCCCAGGCACCATCCAAACTATAAGCACCGCTTAACCTTTAAAGCTACAGCATTTAAATGCGATTGGGAGGTTGACCAAACATGCCGCCAATTTTGATGACTACAGTTCTTTGGGGAAATACAAGTACATCCCATAATTTGAAAGAAAGACGAGGGACCCACTTTCAGGTCGTGCGCAGTCTGGTTGACGAGCTGCAGCCGCTGGTTGGCCAGGTAAGTGGAAGAGATGTCACGCATCTCGTCCCCGATGTTGTCGATCATCTGCTCCAGGCTGTCCGTGTCATCCAGCAGGGCGTGCACGCACTCGCCACACTCTGCGTCCCTAAGCAACGCACATCGGTGAATTGTGCTGTGTGCACATTTAGACGGCAAGAAGTGAAGACAGCCCCAATGTACATCTGGTCCCTACTTTCCTGCAAAGCACTTGGGTGAGTCAATCGCTGCAATCCATAAAGAGAGCTCGGTAAATGACAAGGCTGTAAATACAGTCTAAGCTCGTTACAACAAACATTTGGATATAACATACCGATCTATGAAGTTCGGTTGGTTTTCCTTTACATGCCATTGACTCAACTTCATATCTGATACAACATACTCCTCTTACAACAGACCGAAATCTCGGTCAAAATCAAAGTCTGTTATAACCAGCTTAAACTCTATGTTTAGGCTTAAAGAACTCTTTGCTGAGACAGTAGGTGCGATGAAACGTCATGCCCAGTCGCGCAGCGCACAATGCTTTTTAAGTCTTAACATATATCCAGCCTCATCATTTGCCAAGCTCGCTCTGTAAATCAGAACGACTGGAATGTAGACTTTTCAGATTTCTTAGAACTGTAGCTGAGAAATTTATCCAGTGCAGTACAACTGCCAACCTGGGGTCTTTAACGTGCACTGCGCAATGGTGACAGACGACCGCACGTCGGTACGATGTTTGTAAAGATAGAAATGGGTAGCGGTGGAGACTGAGCCCGGGATCCCTGGGGTCTGCAGCACGAGCATTCGCTCCTCATGCTACGAGCCGGTATGCAATAACACACTCGGCCATCCATCGCACCACGCATAGTTCAGTCTAAATATTTTAACTGCTTCTTCAATTCTACTGGCTGTAATGCGCAACGGTTCCTTTACCACACGTGATGTGCGCAATAAAACTAAAGCAGACGAGAGTAGAAAGTTGGGCTTGTTGGTGATTCCTAAAGATTAAAAAGCGCGACAGGACAACGGACACAGAAGGAGACACAGACACAGTGCGTATCGCTGTGTCTGTGTCTCCGTCTGTGTCCGTTGTCCTCTCATGCTTTTTAATCATTAAAATAAAGCAGTTGAATTATATGTGCCACCCAGAGAGGTTGTCAGCCTATGACAAACCTTAAAAAAATCTTTTTAACCTTTTGATTTATACGATTGGTTGCAACGTTTACGTGTTCTGTCACAGAAGGACACCTACTCCTTTTGCTTCCTTTTTTCTGGCACTTATTCTTTGAATCTATAGGGTGCATTCATCTGCAGGCATCTGTCTTAGGACGATGACATGAGGTCATTCTGCAACATAACACGACGCGTCTTTCTTTTCTGTGTTCAAGGATTCTGAAACTTTGTGACAGACCCCCCCTCTCTCTTGACTGTCAGCAAAGAAAACCCCTCCCACTAGAGGCAGTGGTACAACAAAGCAGTGCACAAGCCTAGAGAACATTGTCAACAGTAGTGCAGATATTAGGAAGCCTGACGTCACTTGACAAGGTGACGCCACGTCACACCATGACATCACATGACATTGCGAACTCTTCATACATTCACAAAACCCTCACAATGTGACCACGCATTTAAGGCGCCCTATTTGAGCCTGTCATGGCTGGTGAATGGAAGCCCACCCTTGCAGCCCTCGCGCTCCACGAAGACCCATCGGTAGGGGCACCGGTCACACTTGTCCCCTTCCACGCCGGGCAGGCACCGGCACTGGCCCGTCTGCTGGTTGCACACGGCACCCGCCGAAAACTTGGCCGCACAGTTGCACGCTGAAACACGAGGCACATTGTTGGACGACATTCGGAGAGCATCTGCCACATGAAACGCCCTCCGACGAACCATAAAAATTACTTTTCCATGCAAAGCACTGAAATATGATGCCAGGACACTACCCCAAATATGTTTTTTCTATAGAGTTTCTATAAAAAGCAAGCTCGAACCAAAACCAGAGGACAAGGACAGAGAAGAATGTGATGTCAGACTCAAGAAGTCCTTGGGGTCATTTCAGTCCCCTGAACCTTTTTGTTGAAAGTTTATCTAAATTGACATGTTTTTCTGCATTTCAGTGGTAATAAAATTGTGCGTTATGGATTTTATATATTTATTAATGAATATGTATCTGACTCAGGCAGCCTATTACTTCTAAGATACATATTGAGAATTGAAGCGCTCCCCTGGGCCGACGACTTTGTTGGTGATGGTGAGATTGTTTAACGAAAGCCAGGGCGACTGGCTTCGACGAAATCCATTCTCTAACTGGCTTTTTTGCTCCAGCTTGCTCTCTCTACCCATCTGACCTTGTTTTTTAGAGCCAAACGACAATCCCTCGCAGTCACTATTCGGCATTCAACGCTACACATTACTTGATTTTCTTGAGGACCTAATTTTTGCCAATTTCGCAACTTGAACAATTTCGAAAAACATCTTTTACGCGAATATATCACCCCACGGGGAAAGGGGTAATATTCGCCCCTTTCCCATAACATTTTACTCCAAATCGCAAAACTTTGTGCCTCCAAAAATGACTAAATATTGAGCTCGCAAAGCTAAAGTTCTTTACAGTATCCAACAATATAACAAGGTCTGCACCCTCATCGTTATCATACATGACTAAGGAAAAAAAAAGTGGGGGAAGCGCCAAACAGTGGATTCTCCACAGGTGGTTTTTGCACAAAATCAAAGTTCAATCACTGGCCACAAACAATTTTTCTCGATAGTTACGCCCTCATAGTTGCGTTCCTCTAATACTATTACAGGCACCCATAAATGACTTGTCACTACAGTAACTGAAACAAGTTTCAAACAGGTGCGTTTAATGTCCTATACTGCACGAGCATGCAAAGTGGTACAAAAGCGGCAACAAATTACAACCCAGGAGGCAGTGGCAGGGTCCGCCAGTGGTCGCAATTCTCGCTGTTGGTCTCAAAAGTGCGAGCAAAGAAGGCGAAGCTACGAACGGGTCGCCACTGTCACAGCCTTTCAATTCCTGGCTGCCGGAGTCTCCGTCGACTGACCCTACAGCAAAACAGACGTCCACCATAACTGCTGCTTCACCCCTGCTTAAATCACAGTCAGCAACTAAACGCGACATCACGAGGCGGAAATTGAAAAGCCAAAAACGAGGATTGAAAAGCCAAAAACGAGGACACGACGAACACATGAGGCGGCACCAAGAGGCGAATATCGGGAAACCAGAAATAAAGGCGCAATGAACGCCACGATTGAAGATGCGCCGGTATTGTGGGCGCTCGCGAAAGAGCCACTCACAGATGCATCCGTCGGCCGAATAGCGCCAGTGGCCCGGCTCGCAGACGTCGCAGCGCGGCCCTCCAGCCCCCGGCTGGCAGGGGCACTGTCCCGTCTCCAGGTCACACTGCTTGGACTGAGAGGCCAGGCTGCAGTCGCACGAGCGGCAGCCTCGGCACTCCGAGAACCCCCAGTGGTTGGGCTGCACGGCCAGACACACGCCCACTCACTCACCGCAAGCCCAAGGGCGGTTTGTCCGCCCAAAATGTTGAGCATCCTTAAAAGGCGGGCCAAGAAGAACACGCCGGTACTTTAGAACTTCTAGGCAAAACAGCGATGAGGAAAGAGCCACTGGGAACAAAACCAGCAGCATGAGCTTCAACCATTTCAACTGGCTGACATCCTTCCTTCACTGCAGAAATGACACGTAAAAGTTTACTGCCGATTAAAATAACGACCAGAAGTCCTTTCATCTGGTGCCGAAACCCAGAAATGAGGTGCTATAGAAAGAACCCGGTCGGTCAACTCGAGAGCATCTTCAGCAGCCAACAAAGGCCTAAAATATGTCCCATCAAGCCACGACTGACCATTCTTGAAGCACGTAAACAGAAACTTTTCAGCTCTCAACAAATGTTACATAAAAAACTTTCAGCCTTTCCACTCTGGTGAAGAAGGAAGACCAGCAAAGCTGTACTATGGTCAGACGACCTCAAGGACAACTTGTTGGACGACTTCTTAGACGACGCCTACAGAAATTCAGCCTTTCCACTCTGGTGAAAACCAGAGTAAAAAGGCTGGAAACGTTGCCGCCATCTATGAGCGGCGGTAGCAACCAGACAACCGGCAAGCCAGTTGTCTGGTTGCCACCGTCACTCACAGATGGCGGTAGCTGTCCAGAGTTTTGTGTCATCATTTGTTTGCTGACGAACACGATGCTGGGGAAACTAGCCCTTAACAGCTCCGCTGTAAAAAGAAAGTAGTTTTTTGAAGCACATTTTTTTTAACACATGCAGTTCGACGAGATAAATCTTTTGGCGTTTGAATTTTTTTAAATGGTCCACAAACAGAGAGGTTATGGTCATAAGATGAGAAGCTGATAAGCTCGAAAATTACTCCACTAGGGAAAGCACTCCGACACGAGTATGCCACGGCACCAATACATATGCTCGTTGACGATGACACAAGACATCTGTTTCTCATTTGCATCATACCGATTCCATGGGTTTACTCTAGGCACGAGGGGATTTTGAGTTCAAAGCGAATTTGATGCGGATAGTGATTTTGGCCGAATATTTTCTAATCGAATATGGAAGAGTTTCTCTGAGCCTTTCACTACTGCACCATGCTTAAACGAAAATCCTGCTGAACTCATAAGGGTGTTCCCAAGCTTTCACTTAGAAGTCCATTTCTAAGCTAAATTCATATACAACTATATTTATGGACTGCGGCCTCAGAAAGTTTAATGCCTAAGGTTTTAAACTTTTAGAGATACCCCGATATACCTACCGTAGAATACTGTGCATCCACCCATTCCGCACTAAGCGCCTACCCTCAAAATTTAAAATATCTGAAAAAATATGCACAGGACATATATATAAGGGTGGTTCAAGTGACCAGGCTCGACCTAAAATGGGCCATATAAATCAACGCCTGCATGTAGCCATGTAAACTTTTCGTCAAAGGTGTATGTGTTTCACAGGTCGGTTTTTTCTTGTAAAATTACAAAGTGTAGTTCTCTTTTAGTAAAAAAAATTGGGCCAAGAAACCTGCCAGGGTCTATGGCGGACGGCGACCCAGACGACCAAGTCCAGTAGCAGGGTGTGTTTTGCGTTCGTATTGATAGATGGCGTCGGAGAGCAGCGCCTAAAGGTGCAGCCGACCAGCGAAAGATAGCAGACGAAATCCGTTGGCAGAAAAAGCGCCACCGTTATGCAGACGCGTTTCTTTACTTAAGTTTTGCTTTTATTGTTTGCATTTATTTTTTAACCGAAGGTACACTTCAAAAAGATTATATTCATTTTAATAAACCACGGTGGTCGCGAGCCGTCGCAATCAGGAGGGAGCGCCATCTATCAATACGAATGCCAAACACACCCCGCTACCGGAACTCTGTCATCTGCGTTGCTGCCTGCCTTAGACCCTGGCAAGGTTCTTGGCCTTAATTTTTACAGAAAGAGAGCTACGCTTTTGTAATTTTACAAGAAAAAACCGACCTGTGAAATACACCTTTGACGAAAAGTTTACATGGCTACGTGCAGGAGTCGATTTTTACGGTCCATTTTAGATCAAGCCTGGTGACTTGAACCACCCTACATGTAAAATTGATGACCTCACATGCGCCCATCCCCTATTTTTTCGCGATTATCTTCAAATTTTGAGTACCTGCTTGATCGGTATTTTACGGTAATCGAGGGGATTTATACTACATCTTTGTGCATAAAAAAAATCTTTTCTTCAATCTCGTATTTTATGTACAACGAAAAGGCAGTCACTAATGATAAACGCAGGTTGCCCTCTAATATATGCTCCTGCATAATAAGCACAGTCTAATTCTTTTCATTTTACCGCTACACAGATGATAACGTTCACAAAGCTCACGCAACTCCAATATTTACTTTTCCAAGCGCTGATCGCGGCAGCATAGCCCCATTGAGCAGGTTTCTTACCAAGCACCGGTACGCTCCGGAGAAACAGCACCCACGGAGCTACCTTCTGCGGGTGCTGCTTCTCCACGGAGCACCAGTGCTCGGCAAGAAACACAGTACTCGGGATTGACCCGCCGTCATCAACACTGAAGAAATATTAATATCACAGTCACCTGGAAGCAAATTTTGAATAGTGTATTAATCGAAACTATTATTTGAAAATTTCTACGATCCTAGTCAATCCTAAGCTGTTTTCCCATCAAAAGATAAAATGTTATTTGTATGCTTCCAATGAAACTACAGTTTTCATAGAGACGTATCCTCGACTGTTCCTTTTTCTTCTACTTTGAAACTTCCTCTTTTCCTGCCTCAGTCTCAGGCTAACATCAGAACAGTTTTCACTCGGCCAAATGGGAGGCCACCACGAGACAGCGTATACCACTCATACTGCCAGAGGGTGCAGGATGACACAGTGATATTGCGGTGATGAGCGGTCAACTACGGCAGCTTACTGCGCAACAGTCGCAGAGGCTCCCTTCCACGTTGGAGTGGCAGTTGCAGGTGCCCTGGAGGGGATTGCAGGAGTGCATGCCGCACTGGTTGCAGGAGCACTCTGCGAGAGAAAGCACGCAGGCTCCCGTTACACTGCCGGCAATGGATGCAGTTGCTTCAAAGCTACGGGGCCCTCTTACACAATAAACGATCGAGTGCAATGTTGCGAGTAAATGCCTGCGTATGTAATCCCTTTACAACATTTCATGTTACAATGTACCACAATGGGCGTTACGATGTACTGCAACAGACATTTCGAGCAACCTAGTTTCTAAGATAAAAGAACCCTTACGCAGGTTCTTTCTTTTTAAATGGTGATACCTCTAAAAATTACCCCCTGCGTCATAAGTCCCGCAACTTCTCACCCAATGATGATGCCACTATTACAGAACACTTTGTAAGATACTAAACCTGCAAATACGCTATCCTTCACAATATCTGCACAGTAACAGTGCACAAAGGTTTCATTCTCACACCCTAGCGAAGGGAAGCATCTTAATTTAAGATGTTTCCATTCCCTAGTTGGACTGTCAGTTGGAGCAGGCAAGCGCTTACTGCGACAGTCCTTGACCGAGATGGTGTCGCCGTAGAATCCCGGAGCGCACAGTTCGCAGGCGGGTCCGGACGTGTTGTTGAGGCACAGCACGCACTCCCCCGTCACCGAGTCACAAGAGGCCGGGTTGGCCGGGTCAATGTTGCCGCTGCACTCGCACGGCTTGCAGCTGCTGCCAATCACGTCGGGCTCGCCAAAGTAGCCCGCATCACAGCTGCATGGAAGACCGGTTTTTTCATTTAGCCAAAACTCTGTGAGCCTGCTTTGTGACTGTGCAACAAAGATCGTGCATGCATGAAAGAAAAATAATTAAGGCTCAAAAAATTCACATATCCAGGATAAACTGAATCTCTCGTGAAACTCTCGGTAAAATGCCTCTAGACCAACATCAGGGTGTTTACAAACAAGTCCGTGTTTGCCAACGCCAGGTGTGAGCACTGCGTGTGCACAGAAACCAGATTCACGCATAAAGTATCTGCGCCCGTAGCAGCGTCATGGCAGTGGTGCGACGTCAGTCGTGCGTCTATGCATGGGACTCGTATGTCAAAAGACCAAATACGTGCAGAATGATACATTGATAGACCGAAGCAGCCAATGAGCCTATGCCAATAGAAGGTATCAACAGACCAATAGGTCATCAGTTTTGTCCATCCAAAGTTTTGCTCGAGTTTGCAGTTGTTCCAACACACTCCGAGATGCCTCGGCCCATTAACAGGTTAAAACAAGACAGGTCATGCTTACACGTCGCAACGAGGTCCGTAGTAGCCCTTCTTGCAGTTGCAGCTAATCTCTTGTCCGCTCGGAGACACTTCGCAGCTGTCGGCGAAGCTGGAAAAGAAATAAAAAGAAGCGGGTGTCAAGCAGTCGTCTTCGATTTCCTGTCACTGGAACTCACTTGTTGGAGGGCAACGGGATCGGGCAGGCACAGATGAGGCAGTTGTCGTGGTTCCCCCTGGTGGCATCCCCGTGGTAACCGGGTAGGCACATTTAGGGACCAATATTGGATATCCCGTACAGCTTTATTTCTTTATTCGTTAAAAACATAACTTTCACACCTGCTGTCTTAAAGAAACTTGGCACTCTTCGTGCACAAACTTAGTGAACATCTCACTCGCCTCCAAATATCATCTTTGCAGCAGTCCTAGGTTTACAGTGACGAGCGAAATAAATTTCCCACTCGGATCAATTAAGGTGGCGGCCCTCTTTGTTTTTCGGAAAATTACTCCAACTCCTTTTTCGGCCGCAACTAGAGAAAATACCCCTAATTACGACTCAAACTCAATATATAAGAAGTGGAGAACAGCTAAATGCCCTTCTGCCCCAGCACTCATGCAACGTCACCCTCAACTTATCAGCTCAAAAAGCAAAAGTTTCGTCTGTGCGCGCTTCCGCCGCCACAGCTTGGCATGCGAAAAGGCGCCGCAGGCTGCTGAACGCGTCTCACAGTCGAACGCCAGCTCCTCCGCTAGCGGCGCTGCTCGCGTTTTTCAAAGCGCCCCCTATAGTTCCCGCACGGAGTGTATAGGTAATTTTCGTAACTAAAAAGAGTGTAAAGTTTTTTTCGGAGAGGCCTTGTACAATTTTTAAACAATAAGGAACTGATAGTTAGCAATAGCTGTACGACAAAAGTGTGTAGTCAACAACTGATAGAAGTGATGCAGGTAAGTAATTGTAGTCATTCAATGTTCAAGGAATGAATTATGCACATGACATATTAGCCCTAAGAAAGGCCATCAACTCCGCAGGTTAGCCTCCAAACAAAGCAACCTGATGATGAAGCGTTTTATGGTGCAAAATGCACCAAACTAGGTTACACATCACATTCTTTTAGTATGACATGTGACCTGAGAGACACGTGTTGTATTGGAACTTGTGTAACAGGCCAGTGCTAGAAATAAAACTGTGTAATCAATCGAACAAGATGAGAGGATGATCTCCCGGCGAAAGAACAGGCTGAAAGGGCACAAAATATCTAAACGAATCTCGCAAAAACGATGGCACCATTTTTACTCGGCACCAGAACCAAGCCATGGAATGGGTGGGATGGACACAACATCTGAGCAGTGTGCAGAGCGCGGCGGAAGCAAAGCAGCCCGTGCAGCGCACCTGTCGGCAGAGCAGGTTGTAGTTGCAGTGGTGGAAGTTTGCCCTGCCCGTGGCCAGCCGGTCGGCGCCCGACAGCACCAGGTCTGCGGCCACAGAGCCGTCATTGTCCAGCGAGTGGTAGAAGAAGACCAGGGCGTGCGGCCCGGCCCTGGGCACTCGCAGGTCCAGCCGCAGGGACCCGTGGTCTTCGTCCAGGTGAGCCATGGGCCCGCTGTGCAGCTCCTGGGGACGACCGCCACAATGATGGGGATCACGGGTCTTATGACGCAAAAAAGAACTGCTTTGTAGGCTATACTGTGTCCAAACTAGGTTATATTGCTGCGAACGGAACAGTGATGGAAGCATACACAGCTACGACACGGGATAACTGCGTATGTATATACATTTATATGCATATTTATAAAAAGCCAAAAGGAAAGCATTGTTATCATTTTGATATAAGAAGCTAAGGATGTGTTCTCTTTTTCGTTAAATTTTTGTGCTCCATATAGCGTGCAAGAGCAGACGCTGATAGATGCTTATATACCGTTCCGATGTTTACAAAATCACAGCCAGCATGCTATCTTTTCCGCCGAGCACACGCTTATTCATTGATTCGGAAAGCGAGCAAAGCACCCACCATGCGCACGAATATTGAGCACTGCACCGGCTTTAAGCCCTTTGTTTACAAACTACTCGGCTATTGAACACCACACAGCTCAGCTCGCGATCTTCATGGCCTAGCATGCGCATGTTCGTGGCAACAGAAAGCGAGTAATGCATGCATAAGTACGAACATTGAAAACTGTACCGGTCAAAAGTCCTTCTCTGCCTACGATTGCAATTTGTACATGATCAAACGATAGTCATCATTTATCCACGTCTAAAGAATGGATTGCACGAAGCGAAGTTTAACAGCGAAATTCTCGCTGCTAAACTCCATCGCAACGCACTGCCTCCTATTTGTTGTCACCAGACGAGCCCGGTACATGCAATCAAGGTGCCGGTTGTACTGGCGACTCCATAACTTGTGACAGTACAGAGGTTGTCTGCAAATGAAGACAACCAGCGTATACAACCAATGCACAACGCAATCGACAAATGTGGCGTTCACGTTAAATAGGTGCATTCAAATGGTTGAAACGTGGTTCTAACTTTGGAGCCAGTTCTACATCACTGGCTCATGTTCCGCGAACAATATCTACAGCTCGCCTAAATCGACGGTCAACAACTTGTGTCCCAAGCCAACCCTGAGCTGCATACCCAACTGGGAGCAGGTCGTTTGTTCCGGAAAAGTTTAGCACCATCTAGAAGGAAGAGACTACAAATAAATTGCCGGTGAATCCCTCTTAAGAAAGCACTGTTTTAGTACGAACTTCAATGCAAATTCAGCCCGCAGCGGTACTATAAAATTATATCATGGCTCAAATACTGGTCTAAAAAATGAAAAAAGTGGTAGATCACAAAAAAAAAATAGCTGCATTTTTAAAATAGTAATTTCCAAAACTATGATATTTTAGGGAGTTTTTAGTGCCAAAGACCCATGTCTTCCCTTAAAGGGTAACTCGAATTAGTTGTCGAACTAAAATAAGTGACTGGTATCGATTCACGGAGACTAAATACGAGCACTGCCAAAATATTACGCTAATGAGAAAGTGCGATCCACTCTAAAACCGATATTAAAGATGTTACCACCAGCTTATCCTCGGGCATTCGGCGAGTTGGCGTCGGGGCCCAAGAAACCTTGGGCCCCGTCGTCACGTCCGCACTCAAGCAGGTTACTTGTTCGTATTGCCACTTCCCTTACCATGCTTTTCTGCTTTGTTTTCAGCTGTCCCAGCGTAAGATTTCTGCTCGTTATGTTACGCTTTAGTGGTTGTTGATTGTAAGTGCTCCTCAGCGACCGTGCACAAAGATTCTCGACTCCCTGCTCGCTCAATCGGGTCGTGCTGCCGAAGTGCGAGGAGCCCAAGGGACTGGCATCGTTGCACAATGCCGAGCACTCCTTGCCAAGCTGTGGGTTGTGCAAACAACCTGCTGCGCAACCCAAGCTTGTGTTTTCACCGGTTCCTCACAAACTCAGAGTTGAGGAGGGTGTGGGTCGACGCCGTTTGTCGAATCGATTCTGGAGGACCGTGGACACCGAAACCTTCACTGGCGGCCATAATCGAGTTCGTTCCTGTGTTTGTGCCTGGAATCAAACTTTAGTATTCAAAGAGGGAAGGAAATTACGGCAGCCGTACACCTATGCGCTAGATACCCTGGTTTCTTGTCCCCGCGTAGTGACTTCAAAATTCCTCTTCCGGGTGGTTAACCCGTCGAGAGCGATACCCACCTTGATCAGCAAACCGGCCCAGGGCCGGTAGATACATTGAGGTCTACCTACTATCTACCTACTAATGACGCCTACCTACATTGTAAGCGCCATTTGAAGTGCTGCCACACGGTTCTCAGACAAAGCACACGAGTTGGAGATATCCACAAGAAAGCTTTTCAAGCCACGGCCCGAGCCGAGCTCTCGTACCTCCAGGACGTCCGCGTCGTCGAGAATTTGCACGGGGGCACCCTGTCCGTCCGCTCCCTGGGCGGCGGCCACCGGCACGGCCGTGTCCGGCAGGGCCGGGTAGCGCAGTTGGCGGCAAGGGCCCGCCATGTTGCCCCCCCGCAGGCACGGGTGGCGCACCCGCTCCTGCAGCAGCGTCGCCTCGTAGAAGGCCTCGGGCAGCAGCACCATGTAGTCCTGGGAATGCGGGGCCACACTCACTCCCACGTTCCGGGGGGCCGACCCAGCGAATCAAATCAAAGTTTTACGTGCCAAACCAATGAAGGGCATTCGGTACGCCTAAGCGTACTAAATAACCGAGGATCGAGTTCAACTGCCCGGGGACCTTTTTACACGCAACCGAAATGTTGGCTCCCAGCAATAAGCCTCCATCAAATTGCAGGGACCTCGGCCGAGATTCGGACCTGCCACTTGGGGATCCGTAGGCCGGTGCTTTGCCTCAAGACCACCAAGGCGGCAGGCCGACGCGCAGCCTTCCTCCCCGTGGGTATGGTGGCAGAACGTGTCTCCGACTGGTGTAATTACTGCATCCTCACACGTCCTCTCTCAATTTCTGACTGAGGACATCGCAGAAGTGGCGCGCCATCGCCTGCCGTGACCCCCGGCGGCGTCGCAGCCGTGGAGTTCTACAGCAGGTCGCACACGAGCTTGACAATCCACAGACGCTTGAGCAGCCAGGAGTTGGCATGCCACGACGACGACGCCACCCTCGCTCGCTTGCCTCTTTTTGCAAAACTTCTACGACCAACTGCCAGGATTGCAACGTCCGACAACGTGACATGCCAGCTCCCGCGACATACTCTGTAGCCACTTCGGGACCACTTCACTGCGTGGGAGGGACAGGATGCTAAGTACACCGGCCAAAGACGCGTCCCGGGCAGGCAGGGACCACGCATGCGCTACGTACCAGGAAGACGGGCCGGGGGGCCTTGATGGAAAGGGTCCATCGGCCGGGGTTCAGCACGAAGGGGAGGGCAGTGACCCCGTCCTGCCCCACCACCCCCTGGAAGCGGGGCTCTCGGCTCGGGGGCAGCACCAGCGTTTCCGTCTGCTTGCTCTCTGAAAGGGGTGCCACGTGGGAAGGTCGCTCATTCTAGAGGGCTGCAGGGGGTTCGCAGCACAGAGGTAATATAATAACCCAGAGGGAAAGGTCCCGTGTATTCCGGCCACGCTCAAGGTCATTTCCGCGGCCGCGCAGCAGGGAAGGAAACAAAACTACAAAAGTAAAAATACTCCCCGGTTCGCACAGTCTCAAAACTCAATGCTCGGTGTAAAGTGGCTAGCCCCATCACCATAGTGACAGTGTTTATGTCCGCCCATTTCGGCATCCATATCACGCACATTCTCTCGCGCGGACTCGTGTCCGTCGGTTTAAGATGAAAAAAAAAAAAAGGAAAAAAAAAAAACTTTTAGGCTTTATTTAAATGAAAGGGCATCACGCTGGCGGAAAAAAATAACGGAGCAGCACTTCATGGCCTCGCAATCCCAGCCACCCGACGAGCTCGCAAAATGTTCTTTAAAAGACGACCCTGCCAGAGGCGACAGCGGCGCACTCGTGCATGCGCAGGAAGCGTGGCACTTGAAACGCTTTAGACCAAAGCAAGTATTAATTACCTCTGTGGACAGTGAAGAACCATCGTCGGACTACTGCATGGCATTTATTTTTGTGTTGGCGTGCGTCTCATAAAATCTGTTCTATGAGGTATCGGGTCAATCTTCATTATTTTACTTACACGGAAGAATTGGCAGCAATTTACTTTTTGATTTTTTGAAAGCTGAATCTGCCTGCACGTTAGAATTGGGGGTGCGTCAGAATCTTGCAAACAGTTCCTTTAAATAAAAAGCTGGCAGAGTGATATTACATATACCAACTACATCATTTATGACGTTTTAAAGGTAAGTCCAGATATAACAAACTACTGATAAAACTACCACTTTTCACGGAACTGTCGCGTTCATTATAGGTGGGTTTGACTGTAATTGACAAGCACTCGAACAACTCAAACTCTTTGTGGCAAAACGAACATGTCTAATTGATCGTCTGCTTTCCTTCTCCGCTTCTCTGTCGCTCTCTTTCTCGTTCTTTCTCTCTAAACTACCGATGAAAGTGCTTATGATTTGCCATGCCTCGCTCCCATCTCCTTCCCCCCCCCCCTTGCTCATAGTGACAGGAGCCTCCATGAACAAGTACTGGGAAAAATTTGGGTGCCAGTCCACTACTTTAGAAATAAAGTTTGGCGCCACCCGGTGGGAGATGAAATAGGGTTCAAGTATTTCCAGGATGAAACAAGGCAACATCAGAAAGGAGAGGGAGGAAGCGTCTCAGAACAAACTTGGGGGCAAAAAGATGAGCCACAATAGGTATAAAAGGGACTTTGGGAGAGTGCAATGTAGATTACTGCAGCTCAATGGAGCCTGCAGGATCTAGCTTCCTTGGTTGAGGGAGTGCCTGCACTCAGCTGAGCATGTGCTCATATATTTTCCTACCAGAACCTCCTGAAGTTTTCGAAAATAGTTTGACTCGTGAGGCTTGACAGTGTTCCTCCAAGAAACAGACAATTGTGGCGTCTGTTTTATAAATTTCTTTTATACCTGTTCCAACACTAAGACCATGCGGTGTCCTGTACAGTGAAATAAATAAGGTACCGCTATTAAAGTGCAGCATAATTTAAAGTGGGATCGACTGATTCATGGGCCGACATACGCACGAAATGCTAGGCGACAGCATTTCGTGATCAAAGGGTACGCTAATCGTTCATCTAGATAATAAATTTAGCAGAAAAAACGAAGCGTTCCCAAATCTCTGATCAAGCTCGAGTACTGCAAAAGAATGCAGAAGAATGACAACTAGCACTGGTAGCTTTGAGAGCAAAGGTTCTACTCTAACTAACTTCAAACATCTACTGTACCACTTTATATGCACAGCGAACATATAATCACTTTTTCTGGCATGAGTTGCAATGTGGTGGCGCCAGTGCGCAAATTAAACACTAGATGGCAAGTTTTGTAGCATTTGCAAGATTGTATTTACACACTATTTTCGGGAAGAGGTCTCTCATAGCATTGTAAGACGTAGTTCGCTCTTACGGTGAAAGAATGACGCATAAAAAATGAGAGAATATAGGCGAATTGGAAGTGTTCCAGAGCTACCCCATAGATGGCGCCACCGAGTTTGTTGCCAATGAGAAAAAGGGCGAACAGATGTACACTCGTTACATGCTACATATTAGCCGTGAGAAGGGTAGACTATTATCACCACCAACAGCCCTTTCGGCTATTTTGGAGTGTGACGCTCAAAATTTCTTCAAGGGGTGTTTCTGCCAATAAATCCAAAACATTGCAAGAGCTTGCCCGTTATCACTGTGAAAAGGCATTCGATCCTGCTGATGACACACCCACACAATTGATCGATAGTCATCTCTAGTTGCTACAGAGAGTCCACATACTTTTCACGTCTGTCCAAACACAAAGCACTGCTAGTCTGCTGCATTTCAAGCAAATCCTGACTCTAGTGACTGACAACGTGAGGACAGCAGCGCTTTCTTTCGAGCGCCCGGACTCTGGCACGCCCTAGTAGCCTTTCGCCCTGCTTTGGGAGCCTCGCGAGACGACAAAGCGTCGTAGAAGCTAAGAAGCTTGCGCTGGAGGCGGGGCAACCGAAACTCCTCCCCGTCGTCCTCATCCTGTCAGTTATCACGGTGAAAACATTTTGCCGTGGTAATTGGATAGTTTTGGGTACAATCGAACGTGCAGCCTCAGAAAATGGTTCGTACAAGGACGCCGGTCGAGTAGCCCGTCCACGAGAAGCGGCACTGACCTCCGTACGTGTCCGGAGTGAAGCTGATGTTGCAGTACACATTGTCGCCGTTGAGGCTCACGTAGCGCGCTATCACCTGGTACAGCCCAGGCTTCTGGATGTGCAGGTCAATCAGGATCTCCTTCTGCGGGTCAGGAAGGCATTGGCACGACAACCGTTAGGGAAAGGACTCTAGCGTTTCTTTTAATGAGCCAGAACAAACTGCGTAGTGCATGAGAACAACTGGGTTTCTTGATAAATGGATCACCCACTCGTTATAACTATAACGATAATAATCATCTTTATATTTCCAATCTTCTAAAAGCCTCCGGGTCATCTGGACCATGCACAGCACATTGCAAGACAAGTGAAGGTTGCTACCGTGACAATAAAACAAAAACCTTAGAAAAAAAAAAAACAAATCAAAGAAGAAATGCATCTGGCAGTATAAGAAAGGTCTGAGTGCGGGAGGATTGACAATGGGCCAAAAAGGTCGATAGAAGAAGACTCCTAACAATTATGCGGGTCTGGCGATAATTCATGATACAGTATAGACCACTTACAACGTAACCGCTTATAGTGCAGGACCGGGTATAACGCGGTTTTTTTAAACCACCGGTTCACCTCCCATAGAACTCCATGTAATTACATACCGCTTAAAATGCAGGCGCGCGAAGGGAAGTACCGGTTATAGTGCGGTTTCTGGCGCAGCCCGCCAGCCGCGCCGACGACCGGAGCAGCGAGCTCGCTTCCCTGTGCGACACCAGATAACGACGCTGACGCAAGCTGACGGCGCGAGCCGCAAACTGCACTCGCGGGGCAAGGAGGTTGCTCGAAAACGCGGGAAGAAGCGAAGAGGGAGGCTTCAGTTGCCATAGTGACGGAGGGACGCACGCACGAGTCGTTCACGTGCGTGCGTCCCTCCGCTGCGTTGGAAACAGAGAAACAAACAACCGCAACGACAGACCAATCGCAGGTCGAGGACAAGTGTTCGCGCGCGTTGTATCATGCATGCCGGTCGCGGGCCGGCCAGGCCGCCAGGCCGGCTGCTTCTATTCCGCAAACATGGCGTTGGTTGTGATCGTCGTCGTAGACGGCGTGCATCTCATCGTTCTGCGTAAAAGCGCTATCCTTGACTGTGAATTTTCGTTGTGTGTCGCTATGATAACCCAGCACGTACTAGAAGGGAAGATCCACCTACTCGTGCGGCGATGTCGTGGCGGCGCTCTCAAGACGGCAAAAACGCCCGTGTCGTCGTGTTTGTTTACTTCGACTACAGTGGTGATTTCTAAGCATTTGTGTCCTCGAACATCGCCCGGATTTCTTATTTGGCGCAATTCATGCGTGTGCTCAAGTTCAAGGTATTACTGGCGCGTAGCGTATGAAGGATACAAATTTTCACGCGTTTTCATCTCCGGAGAAAAGTGATTAGGGTTAGCAATCCTGAACGCTCGCAACGTCCGTCCGCAACCCGCGACGCCATTAAAAGGCTGCGCCAGGCAAAAGCCGCTAATTTCTTTTAAAATGTGTGACGCACTTGAGACATAACTGTACTAGTCTATTGAAATAAAGACTTTCCTCAAACTAAGCTTATTTTTTCATCTAACATAAAATAAATTCTTTTACAAAGGTAAGTTGTGTCATGGCATGTATTTTGGCCTCAAAAATTGATGTTTTGGTTATAGTGCGGTACCGCTTATAGTGCGGATTTTCGCGACTCCCGAGACATACGTTATATGCGGTCTACACTGTATACCTATTAGCGATGTGCGCGGCCAAAAGCGTCGCTGTCGTCAGCTTTCCACGATTGGCCAAACCATGGGCATATGAGCACTGTCAGATTGTCAACTTTGACGGTGTTAGTTTTGGATTGCGATGTCTCCTAGCTTCTACTGTGCTTTTTAAACACACCATTGAACTCGTCGTCGCCCCCGATGGTAAGTAGCCAGAATAACAACTGGTGACGTCACGGCGAGGCAAATCCCAGTCGTGACGTCACGGAGGGAAACCATAAGAGGGCGCCACCAAAACATCTCGGCGCTAATAGGGAGTATTCACTGGACGCCACATTTGTGGGTGCTGTTTAGAGCGCATGCTCCGAACGAGCTCACATCAATAGGCTGCTAAGACCGGCACTCTTCATGGGCCGGAATGCACGTTGCAAAAGGACTGTGGAAGCTCGCAATCAGCACGCGCTCAGCAGTCGCGCACACAGCTATGGCCGCCAGTGAATACTCCCTATATGCTCAATAAATGATAGCATTAGGATTAGTCCCTGCATTATACTGTCAAGAATTGTGTCTTTGTATACTGATGTAGATGCCCTCTAAGCAGTGCGAATAGGGCAAGGTGGAAAACGATCTTAGTCTTGGGCAGGGTGTAAGATAGACAGGTGGGGAAACGGCCCATAGAAGCCTACCGCAGCGCCGTGACCGGATTGTGTACTTGTCTGCTTGCGGGTACCCCCGATTTGCGACAGATGGTGCTGCGGCGAGAGGAAAAAAAGTCGGAATCGGATTTGCGTGCAACTCTACGGGAGAGTGCGCAAAATAAACCGAGAGCACGACAGTCCCCCATTGAAAATCCACGAGAAACCATCTCCGTCAGTTTAGCTGGTCGCCACCGGTCGCCCACCCGGAGTGAGAGTTTGCGGTGCTCCACATAGATGGCGCCACAGAAAAAGAGAAAACCGAGGGGGACACAATCCGGTCGCTCATCTGACTCTCGTTTCCCCACCTGTCTACCTTACACCCTGGTCTTGGGCCCGTACCATTTCAAGTATAGAGTAAGACTCAGTCAGACCCAACAAGCAAATGGACAGTTTCCTAGTTCTCACAGATTCAAATACGGTACCAACTTCAGTGCTAAAGTTTGGTGATTTGCGCATACCTGCGAGAGAAAACTGTGCTAAAGGATCGGGGTAATGCCCACATTAAGATGAACACCGCTGTTGAGAGCTCCCAGGTGCTGGTCCCGTCCCAGGTGAAAACCATGCAGTCCACTTTCAGCTGGATTAGGCAACCAGTCTTAGCTGGATCCATTCAGATTGTCTGATTTTCAGCTGGAGGCATCTGAGACCACACATGTCAGGCGACATAATAACAAGACATTGCATGTCGTGTTGCGTGGTGCTCCAAACAACGTCGTCATGCGAAGCGTCATGTGATGCAACACACCATATCATGTGATGCTGATGAATCACTGCAATGTCACTCTTGCTATAATTATATATTAACAGTTCACCCGCAGCTGCATTATGAAACTGGTCCCAGCCGGATCCAGCTAAGACCAGTTCCATAATCCAGCACATTTTTGTGTCTTTTCTTATACAGACTCTCCCGTAACAGATTGTAAGGTTATATGGTATAACAGTGCTGTCTCGTCCATAGGGACGCCTCCGTTCCCCAAAACATTGCGAGTTGTTCATTATAACGAGACAAAAAAATGTGTATTTACCCAATTCATCCTAGAAAACCTTGCCTATATAAAGGGGGCATCCATTTTAATGGGGTTCGTATTAACGACACATGACTGTACAACGTACAGTGCAATCCACTTATAACGATAATTAAAAAACCTGAAAATTCAATCGTTTTAAAAGGTTAGCACTGTATCTGAACTAGAAACCCTAGAAACTGATCATTATAAGCAGTACATTGTTTTATGTGGTATCGGTATAAGTGGATTGCACTGTAGCGAGTAGAGTATTTTTGTCCCTCACCTGAATGTTGGAGAAGATGGCGTAGCCCTTCCAGGAGAAGCCCGGGAAGAGGCCGCTGTCGAAGTCAAAGCGGGCGTTGACCCCGCTGGGGGTGTGTCCGTCCTCCACCTCGTACTTGTGCTGGTGCAGCGTGGGGAAGAAGTGCGCCTGCAGGGGCTCCGAGCAACGGCGCCCCGTGATGCGGGGCCGGCACTGGCACTGCCCGCTCCGGGCGTCGCACGAGCTGCCCACCGCTCCGCCCACGTCGCACTGGCAGTCTGCGCAACACAAAAGGAGCGGCACAGTGTTGCCAAACTATTACTTATGCCTATGCTTAAACGACAACTCCGCTTCAGTTTTGAAAAAACAATGCAGTCCTCTTCAGTATTCTCTACGAAGGCCACACGTAAAATATTACGACCAAGTTCTCTCTAAATGTTTCTTAAACGGTCTGGCTGACTTTGGAAAGTGCCAAGTTGCCAAAATTGGGCGACTCTAACGGGCGTATTGAGGCACTGTTGACAGCGCAGTCGTAGCCGACATTGAGTTAAACGTCATCAATATTGCAATACTTTGTTTAAGCTGAAGTCTTGGCAGGCTTTCAGCGTTCCTGCCAAGCACGCACGCTCAAGCAGTGCAAGTACCGTTCGGGGCCACATGGTCAAGCTTGTAGCGTCGGCTGCATCAGGACTTAAGCTGAAACGAAGTCTACTTTTTGTTTGTTTTTACTTCCCCTGGCAAGCTTAATGGGGGACGTCACCAGCGTCTCTTCTCGGTGCTCGGCGGTATCCAGGTGATTGGCTAAACACGCCTACGCAGCCCGCTTCTCAGCCTTGGGAGAGCCGTCCAGCCGTCCTGCTGTTACCGCCGTCTGACACGTCTCAACCGTCGTCATCATCGCCTCGCCAGCCGCAATTATTGACTCTCGCGAGTTTTGTACACACTACGTGCACAGACTGATGCCGCAGTTATGCAGACCTTGTAAGATATCGTAGACACCAAAACGTGGTGAAGACTGCAGTGCAGAAGACACTTGCACCTTGCACACACCCGCCCTACAGTTACTTACCCTGATCCCGCCCATTGTTGCGTAGAAGATTATGTGACCGCACGTACCACGCAATAGCTATATTTTGGGCGGCCGGAAGCCAATGTTGCCTGACGGAGCCAAAGTTTTGGTTTCAGTGTCTGCTCATGTTTAAAGTAAGATTTCACAAAATATATCCCATTTCTTGAGAAGCAAATGATGTAGTGGCTTTTATTGGTGCTTTTAAATGTGAAATCACTCATAATTTTGAAATTTTCTGAATTGAGTGGAGCTGCCCTCTAACACAAATTGCCACCAAATTCACAAAAATAAAATACAGCGAACAAGTCAACTAAAATGCCTCCTACCACATATGAAAGGAGGTGCAAAAAACAGTGAGGATGAATAATTGTGTACAGCCAACTTTTCCCCAGCAGATAGCATCCTTTATGGTGGCTAGCACCTAACATCAGAAAAGGTTAAAAAAAAAGAGAGATTAAAGGATTTAAAGATCTAGCACAAACCACACATGGAAGTGTGGTTTCTGCAGCACATTCTGTGAACACAGGTTTTTGTAAGCACGATTAGGCGTGTACATTTGTTTCAGAGGCCAAGTTCAGCTTTGTAAAGAACTGGTGGATCTCTGGCAGTCGCAGGAAAAACAAGGCAGTCATTGCTACAACTAGCAGACAATGCTCCTTTTGCACACCCATTAGTATATCCTCTGGGCAGAGCTTTGTGCTTTGACATATCACTTTCCTTTAGCCCCCGTCTCCCTGATGCTTTTTGTGCTCAAATAATGCTGCTGCAATCTGGTGTCCTGTTTAGACCACCCTCACAGCTAACCTGGAGTCACTTCAAAATTGCAGTGCTCATATTATAATAACCAACTATCATCAAACACCCAGTGTTTCATTCATGAAAATTAACCTCTCTTTACCTCTTCTTTTATTGTGCCATAGGTTTCTATGTCTTCTCTACAAAATATATCATACTAATCCTCTCCTAAAAGAAACACTCTTCCTCGACCATCAGTTCAAAGTTGGCATTCCTCACTGTCAGGCCTCAGCCTATAACGATTCCTTCCAACCTAGAACATCATCAGAGTGGAACCACCTGCCTGCATCTATAATATCAATACCATCGTTAGATTTGTTTAAAACTACCATTAATAATAACTTTTGAAATCCCGTAACCGCGTTCAACTCATATGTATGTCTTTTTACTGTGTTCAGTTGCCCACTACCTTCTGTAATGCACTTTCGGCCCCGAGGGTATTGCAATAAATAAATAAACAAGTAATAAAAAGTTCGCGAGCAAATACCTGCACAGTCAGTGAAATAGAGAGAGGATAACTACAAAAGAAAGTACAGTATGAGACAAGCAGTGAGGAAAAGAAGGTTGCCGTCCGGTCAGCGACCGAAAGCACCCCACTGCCCTGGATGCCCATCTACAGAAGACGGGAGTAAAATGCCAAGGCCCAGAGGCCAAGACCCACCCTGGCAGCCGAGCAGGTCCTGGTCCTGGAGGTGGAAGGTCCCGTCGAGGCACTCTGTGCACTGGCGCTGGCCCACGTTGGGCTTGCACAGGCACTGGCCGCTCTGGCCGTCGCACACCCGCAGCCCCCCCAGGGTGCCCGGGGAGTGGCACTCGCAGTCTGCGCAAGGGGAGGGAACGGCGGCGTTAGCAAACCACCTCGAGCGCTCCGGTTTTGAGGCATTGTACCTTAAAGCGTGGGTTCTCAAACAGGGTTCCCCAGAGCACCCTTAAGGGTTCCAAAAGCAGCCTCAAGGGTTCCTTGGAGCACCCCCAAGGGTTCTCCAGAGCACTCTCGAGGGTTCCCAAGAGCACCCTTAAGAGTTCCTTGGGGCACCCCCAAGGGTTCTCCAGAGCACTCTCGAGGGTTCCCAAGAGCACCCTTAAGAGTTCCTTGGAGCACCCCCAAGGGTTCTCCAGAGCACTCTCGAGGGTTCTCAAGAGCACCCTTAAGAGTTCCTTGGAGCACCCCCAAGGGTTCTCCAGAGCACCCTCGAGGATTCCCCAGAGCACTCTCAAGCTCCCCAATTTCCTCGACCGCACTTGTCCCAAAGTAAAGTGCCTTTCCAGATTAAGTAGGCAGATTTGAGCCATTGATTGATGCTTAGCTATGAGCCAAGCACTACCTAGTAAGTGCATGATTGTTTAGAAGGCCTGTGGGCTTTTGTGCTGCTTTATTGCATAAGGAGGGGTTCCTTGGTCTTCAGTCGAGCCAGATAAAGGTTCCTCAAGGTCAGAAAGTTTTGAGAACTTGTGCTTCACTTTGTCCCCATTCTTCTAGTGCAGTCTCTAACAAAAGGCAAGATTAACTTTAAGAGCATGGGGGTGCTGCACAGATTTTGGATGGTTTCATAATGTTGCAAAACCACAACCTGACCAAGTGCATCTCCTCCCCTCAAATGCGAGCAAGCAGAATTGGGTTCTTTATGCTTTTCTTTAACCGATACCCGACACCGTAAGGCTTGAATAACAGGCTTAGGTTGAGCTAATTGGTACTTGTCAATACAAGGAAGTCAGCTTGAACATTAGACAAACACAGAGAGGTCTGTATGTTTGTTTTCTCTCTTTGCATTTGTCTAATGTTCAGGCTGACCTCCTTGCATTGACCCTAAGGAACGTCATGACAGGTGGTCCTGGTGCCTCAACCATTCTTTACCGATTTCTGACAGCGGAAGTTACAAACACTGTTTTCCTCTTTTGTCTAAAAAACAAAATGATGCTGTTTTAGACAAAAGAAAAAGCCAGGCACATGAGTGCACAGAGTTTGCACTGCCTCCACCAGATACCATCACTCATGACGCCAAATTTAGGCAGTGGTGGCAGTATTGAAAAGTCATTTTTGAGAACAAGACAAAGGAAGGAAGGACGAGTTCTTTTTCAGAGATCAATAAAGATAAGAATGGCTAAGTGGACAATTCCACGTGCAGATTCAAAGACGCTAACATTAATGAGACATGCCTTCAGCGGAATGGCGAGTTGCTGCCATTTGAACCGAATTCTCGAAACCCAATATGGCGACTGCACTGCCAACCGCAACAAAACACAAACAAAACAATTGTCGGCAAAGGGAGGAGAGATGCGACACTCCAAAAACTATGGCGGCAGAAAGCTCCTGGACGCGACATGAGGCCACGAGAGGTGATGCCAGAAGTGTGGAGGGATATGCCCTCAACGATGACCAAAACCAAGAGACGCCGTTGTACGAAAAGGAGAAATGACTTGGCGCCAACAGCTGTTCTGGTCACCGCCGGGGCCCCGAAGGGGACCAAGCGTGGTGTCATGTCGCCTCCAGAAGCTTTTGACCTCGACGCCAAAAGTGTATACGGTGTCTCTATGCCAGACTACACCCGAGCCTCAACCTCGCAACCCTGCGGGTCGCTCGGCTTGAGGTTCCAGTAGAGCGGGCGGCACTGGTCGCAGATGCGTCCCGTGACGCGCTCCTTGCACTCGCACAGCTCCCCGCTCGTCAGGCTGCCGCAGCCTCCAAACGTCGCCAGAATCCCCGCCGGGTTGCAGTTGCAGCCTGCGGGAAGCCATGCCCCCTTCCCCTTGAGACACCCTCGCAGACAACAAGCTTAGTAATTCTCAAAAACATCCGTGGGATGCCTTACAGATCGAAGGGGCAAAAACATTTACAAACTGTTACGTAAAATAGCTTAATGTACACTGCAAGATACTGTTAGAGAAAACAAAGAATTGGCAGTTTTTCTTGTCTTTTAGAATCGAAAGAGCATGATACAAATTACTAGTGTGGTGGAAAGGACTCGTCTGGGGCCCTCACCTAACGGCAAAATATAGTGGCCGCCGGTACGTGATTGAAGTGAAAAGCAAAAAAAGTGGCGATGGTGTATTCGCACTAACAGTGTCGCACAGTGTACACGCTATGTTCATACAAAACTGAGCAAGTAAGGCAGAAAAAGTATACAATGAAAAATTCAAGATTCGGCTTTGAAGTTTGTATTGGGAAGCTCGCAATGGGTGACTAGGTACGACAGAGTGTGAACGTAAGCCCAAATGGCAATATTTAGGTTTTTCGTCTTAAATTTGCTCAAAATATTTATCGCTGAAACACTGGTCTTGACAAGCAGAGATATATAAAAGCTCTTTCAACATTACAGATAAAAATGACTGCCGTAAAAATCAGATTCCTTTAAGAAAAGACGTACCACAACACCTCTTTTTTATGTAGAGACAGCGCGTGGTCCGAACTCCATTCTGTCATTCACTCTCACCATCACAACGAATAATGCGTTTTTTGTGTATTTTTGTTGAATATGTCAATATAAAGATAACAAACAAGAGCTAGAGAACTACAAAAACTGCATTTTCGAAAACCTTAGCTCGTGGAATTAACAAAAAAGTGTTAATGTCAATTACAGTGATGCCAATAAGCAAGTTCAAGTCAATCGTGATACATAGCAAGAATGTGAAAACCTTATGCCAATTTGTCCGTTATAGTAATGGACTGAGTTTGAGCACATGATATTGTCACGGATGAAAAAGGATAGACAAGCGTCAAACCGAAAATAATGGATTTATCCGCAAACTTGCGCCAGAAGTAAAATAAAACAAAAAAAAAGATCGCCGAAAAAGCAGAAGCGAGCATCGAGGTGTCGGCGTGACAGCTGGCTGGAGCGAGAGGGAGTCGGCAAGGCCGTGCTGGGCCCCTTATCTATTACCCTCGGGATCTCAAACATTCGGCCTAGAATGTTCGAGCGTTTTAACATTGGGGGTAAAAGTAAACACAAATCATTACAAGTATGAATAGGGTTCCGCGTTTACGGTTTTTATTTTTTTCCAAATTCGGCATACTTTTTTCGGTGTCTATTTTAAAATTTAATTTTCGTTTTTTTTCGGTGAATATGAAAGTTTACCTTTTTTTTCGATGAATATGAAAAAAAAAAACACCATCGGACACCGGATCAGATGATCCTTGTAGCTGTGATACTTGTGATCACTCAAAGAATAACGGCACATATACATAATTGGTCTTCGCTACAACTTCCGTCAGGATACACCTCAAAATCGCGAAATTTGCGGGCATAACCTTCCGCGCGCTTCTTTCTGCTTCCCATTCTGACGACGTGACCGTCTGAGGTGATGACCGTACAGTGACCAGCGGAATGGCAAAACAAATCCATTTTATTTATGTTCTCAACCACAGGGAAGTTTGAGAGAGGGTGTTAAGAAAGGTATTAACGGCTTTCCTGGATGTCCCCTGAAGTGCATGAAGCGATAAAACATTATACTAGCCCACATCCAAACATTTTTTGGGGGACCGAGACTTTGACACACTAAGCCCGATCACAGAAAGGACACAGATGTCCCGTGAAGGCCAATCCAAGACCTCTTTTGTTGAATATTGAACCTTGGAAGAGGGCAATCTAGAAGACGTCACACAATGTTGAACCCTGCAATGCCCTCTCCCCCCCACCCCTCCCCCCATCCACCTCGACGCGGCCCTAAAAAAACTGACCTTTTCCGGTTAAAACCGAATTTCAGAAAATGGATTCGGCGTACTTTTATCGTTTTTTATCGGTTTTAACCGAAAACTCCAAACCCTAGGTATGAAGTAGCGTTCCCCCTCAGCCATGTACACGGCTATTTCAGACCAATGAGATACATAAAAAGATGACAACAAACAGAGGCGAAGCAGATTATGATGCTACGAGAGAAGCACAACCGAGACAATTTTCTATGTGTTGACAGTGTGGATACCTTCGCAGAGGGGATAGTTGTAGAAGCCCTTCTTGCAGCGGTCGCACTTCTCTCCGTCGAAGCTGGGCTTGCAGAAGCAGGTGCCGTCGCTCCCACACGACAGTCCCACGGATCCGTACGAGTCGCAGCCACAGGCTGCAGGGGACACACTGAGGGTCATTCACTCCAGGGCGCAGCAGTTCTCACGAGATTTGAAGCATCAGAGGACCTTCGTGCCAACTTCTCACTAGTGTGAGCTCAGACGGTGCAGAAATGTTGAAGGACAAAATTACCTAAACCAAAAATTAGGAAGTCAAGATTAAAATTACATGAGACTGTGCGACACAAGAAAAGGAATGTCTCAAACTTAGCTACTGCGTTTATTTCCTCCAATTCCTATACAGCCACGAATCTAGCACTTGATAACCGACCTCACAGCACCATTCTTTGTTACAAAGTGAAAGATGGGAAACCTTTAGGTTTCCCATCTTTCACCACAGTCCCGGGTAATTTTCAACACAACCAACATCCACCAGCTCACTTGCACACTCACTGTATTTTTGAAAAGAAAGCCACTTTTCTTCATTTACGTAATCAATCACAAATTGCAAAACCGCAAGTTATTACACATTCAATCTTCATGCTGAGCAATCTGGTCTGTTCACAATGTCCCGCATAATGCTGAATAAAGACCAGTGCTGCAAAACACCGGTTCAACCATCCAGGCAATTTTTCACGTACGGGGCCTGGCACAGATGATCAAGTTTTAGCAAACAAGCAACATTTTCGCAAGCGTCACATTTAAACTGAACTATGTAGCGTTGCCAGTGATGGAAGTGCCATTTGACCTTTTGGAGCAGGCCTTGTAGCAGGCAAAATGTTGTTTTGGAGCAGGTAGTGGCCCCTTTGGAGCAGGGTCCGGCATATGTTGGCATATTACTTGAAATTGAAATAATGCTGCTGTGCTATTAAAGCCCATCCCTGTTGGAACACAGCGTCTGTCGCCTTTTTAAGACAGGATATATCAAATTCAACAAAGTAAACAGAAAAAACCTTTTTTTTTTAAATAAAGTTTATCTGCTCATCAGATAAAAAAAATACAATTAAATATGTCACACTGAGTTCTGATGGTACAGGATATTTAGTTTTATTACCCTGCACTTCTTTAAAGGTATCTGCAGCAGCATCTAACGACCCTTACTGTTGTGGAATGTTTTAGTTCAGATTATAGTTATCTTTCGGGCAGCAGCTTCAAATATTGCGGTATCTGATATTCGCTTCAAAAATTACGATTCATTTTCGATGTGCTGGCGAAGTCACGATCGGATCATGGCGAGTTAACCCGTTGAGTGCGCTCCTTGGCATGCACCGACGCGCTGCAGAGAAGCGACACCCGCGGAGCAGACACCGCAGTCGCGCAGTGCTTTGTGCTCTGAAAAGGACGGTAAGGCTTTACCAGCACTACATCCAGAGTTTGGTGCAACTCAACTAGACTTCGTTTCAGCTTCAGTGCGAGCGCATCTGAAGCTGCAAGCACGCGCATGAAGCTTGTAACGGTGCCCACACTGCACAAGCCCGTGCGCGACTTAGGAATGCACAGCATTGGGCTCGCGCTAGCTTTGACTTCGCTTGCAGCTAGCGCTCGGGAACAGGGCGGGCCAACATTGAAAACATTCACAAGCTCGGCCTTTTTTCTTTTTTTTTTTAAATAGGCAGCTCAGTGGGATGGTTCTTCGCTTAGCCTCTGCGGCTTTGGTCTCAGATGTTGCTGACGTTCCTTTCAATGATGATGATAATGCGCCCTCGCAGTTTCGGTTTGCGTAACAGTTGCGGCGCGGAAAATACCGTGGTACCGACACGCGCTCTGATAAGACTTCAGTTTCTATTTTTTATTGCTACATCTCATCTCGGCGCAGGCATGGCGCAATTCTTCGGTAAAATAACAATTTGGCGCTACATGTAGCAGGATTGCGTCCTTGGCGCAAATTGGCGCAATTGGCGCAGCACTTCCATCACTGCGTTGCAGTAGATTATTTCAGTGGAGCTCAAAGTTGTCTTTCCAGTGTGATATAACACCCTAAAAACAAAATCTTACGGGGGCTGACAAAAGAATATAGTTTTTATGCATCAAAGGGCTAAAACATTCGTGAAAGGTTGGCATAGCCTGTCAAACCCACCTATCCTTGGAATGGCACCTATACGAAAGTTTTCAATTAGTTCTTAGGCACCGCTTTTCACCTTTATGCTTTTCCAGCGAGACAGCTCGAAAGATATCTAAATTGTGCCAAAGATGATCAAATGCTTTACGTAGAGGGTGAAGAAAATCCGGGGTCTTAAGCTCTTGGCTGGAGAAGTTTGTCCGTAATATTTAGAGCGAGAAGACTGAAGACCTCAATTTTCACAAAATTTGAATGTGAATGCAAAGCCGACAAAGAATGATTTGCAAAGTCCATTTCAAGCCCCCCATACACCCTTATATGTATCGCAGAGAAGCACTCACGGTTGCAGTCTGGGTAGCTGTAGTAGCCCGGGGCACACTGGTCGCATCGCAGGCCCGTGAAGCTGGCCAGGCAGTGGCACTTGCCCGCGTTGTCGCACGAATTGCCCAGGGAGCCCTTGCTGTCGCATTCACAGGCTGCACAAATAAAGCACGGACCACTGCTGGCACTCTCTCCCGTGGCCTTGCTACAGTGTGACCACCGTCGACACGAGCAAGCAAAATCTGTGCACTGCGCTACCCTGCGCTGCTCACAACACTGCGAGGCACCACAGTCTTCTCCGCCCAAACATTGCCTCTGGAACAAAGTGTTAAGGCAGCAAGTTGCTGGTAGGAATAGCAAAAAAAAATTGCCAATGACCTTTAGCTTTAAATTACTATAATCGGGGTTCCGTGTTTCCAAAGTTTATTTTTCTAAAATTATGAGGGTGTTTTTCGGAGTTTACTTTTTGCCAAAAAGTCCGAGTTTATCGGAGTTTATTTTTGTTAGATCCCCAATTCTCCAAAATTTGGAGTTTAATTTTATTATGTTTCTTTTATTTTTAAACATAAAAATAAAAATAAATAATATAGGGGTCTATACTTGTGCTAGGTTCAAGAGAATGCACTTGTATGAAATAATATTTCTTTCGATGGATTTGGCATTGGCACCCTAGCTATTGGCAATACTAAGCTGCCCAAAGACAAAGCGTGCAAACAATGTTGCCTTAATAAATGTCGATACCTTATAATTATTAAATTCTTCGAGGTAGTCACTGGAAAGCTTGTTTTCATTCCACCGTGTTCCATCACCTTACCCGTGGCTGTGCGGGGTGGAGTGATAAAGGGTGTAAATATAGATGCTTCAACTGCCTTTCAGCTTCCCATGAAATCTCTATGGTTCGTAGATTTCACTCCTACAAAAACACAACCCTCCTTCCTCTAAGAAGCCCAGATAATATGGTCCAAACTGGAAACCGGAAGAGTGACTTTTGTCGTGACTTGGGAGCACAATGATCCATTGTTATGAATGAGCCTTTGGCTGAGATGAACGGTGCAACAACTTTTGTCAATATTCCTAGATTTGAAAGAAAACCGAGATGGCATTTTCTCAGCAGCATTGAACCTGTGCACTGATCAAACTTAATTGTAGGATACTTTTTTTCTTTACATTGGGACACTGAAATTTTGAGTTTATCAAATATAAATCCGAAGTGACGAAAACTTCGCTGGCGGTTGCTTCTCCGAGCTTTTCGGATTTATCTGAAAACACGGAAACCTACCTAAAATGCGTGAAATTCAGTATTTAGGAGAGACTGTTTCAATTGTTTGGGAGAGATTGAACAGTTGTTGCAACAGTGAAGAACCTATATTTTTATCACTTTTGGGGAAACAGAATTTGTGTGTCATGTAACCTGAAGTGGGGAGGGAGCACTGTAGGACTGCAAGGAAGGGCACTGGGAGAGGGAAAGAAGGGAAAACAGGGACACTGAATTGGTGTCACATGGCCAAGGGGGGGGGGGCAGAAGGAGGGGAAGGGAGAGCACCCTAGGAGAAGGGGGAAGAGATGGAAATAGGAAGGAGGAGGGAGAAGGAGGAGAGGGAAGGGAGGAGAAAAATGGGGAGAGGGAATTTGTGTGACATATGGCCTATACACCGACACGCGGGCTTGACGTCACGGAGCTGCGGCGGCGCTGCGATCGCGCCGGAGCCGGGGGGTGTGGGCAAAAGCGCGCACGTTTCGCATGGGCGTCATAGCATTTCAGCATGCCGCGAAGCTGTTTTGCCGTTAATTGCGCCAAAATGTACAAGAAAAGCAGCGGAGTGAGCTTCCACAAGTTCCCGGCAGACTCTGAAGCGCATAGAAGGTGGATAATACCCGTGGATCGAAAAGAATGGTCACCTCGCGCGAACGACCGTTTGTGCGGCAAACACTTTCTTAGAGGCAACTGCGGCTTTCATTTCAATCTCCGTCCCGATGCTTGCTTATGTGCAGGGAAACCGTTGACCGATCGAGACCGCCCGGATTTTGTTCCGACGGAGCTCGCGCACAACGCACCGGCCAAGCGCTCGTCGGAAGCTCGCTACGCCCGTGCTACCCAGCAGAAGGGGATCGGCGACAGAACGGCAGTGTTGTAGGCGTTACAAAAAATAAAATAAAATAAAAGTAACGAAATATGTTACTCGTTAGTAGCAAATAAAAGGTACGCGTTACTGTGCTACGTGATGTAAAACTAAAAGGAACGCGTTACCGCAACCGATAAAAAGTAAGGCACGTTACTTCTGCGTTACTTTTTTTAAATTATGATTTAACACATTTTACGGTTTTGACGATACAGGTCATATATCAAGAAACATTATGTTCATGCAGAAACTGAACATAATTACTTTATCTCTTTTTACGGTTTCAGCTAAACACTTACGAGAAAAAACGCAAAGAAAACATGGCGCGCCTAGAACACGGAAACAATTGAAGTATAATTTCTTTAAGACTTGCGATGTAGTAACGACTAACGTAACTACGTTACTTGAAATAGTAACATAAGTACATTACCCGCTACTTTGTCGAAAATGTAACGAGTAGGTTACTATACGGTACTGAAAAAAGTAACGCGTTCCTGGTAACGCCGTTACTTGTAACCTGTTACCGCTACGACTGCAGCACGGACAAGCCTTTACTAGTTGTAATGCCTTGTGGTCATGAGGCTATGAAAAATATTATACCTTGACTTGAAGACGCTCTGTGTATTTAATCAATTAATGAATACACACACTTCCGCAGACCCGCAGTCTGCAGATCCCGCCGGCAGTGCGGAAACCGACTCGATGTAATCGTAGACCTCGAGAGACTTGTATGCTTGCTCCGTGTCGGCCGTGAACTTGCTTGGCGAACAAACTAAATAAACGACGACCTAAGCCCTCGACTTCGGTGGCAGCAACTTTACGTCGGAAGTCCAGCAGGCCTTGTTTACGGCGTACGGATCCTCGTAGGCAACGCCGTCCACGCAGTCGGGCATAGCATACGACATACGTTATGAGGAAATACGACGCACAAATAAAGATGCAAGCGTCCCTACAACGTCAACAACGAGCGCACGCCATAGAGCGCAATGGCGAAAACACGGAGAGCGGGGCTGCTTTTGCCCGCATAGCTACCGCGCATGCGCGGCCTTCCGGCCGTGTTGGTAAACAGAGCCGCTCCGCGTGTCGGTCTATATTTCCCTGCGAAATTTAGCATGGAAACTGAATTTTTTTGTTGGTCATGCGGTGTCAGGTCAAGTGACGTTGATTTTCCCCGCTAAATTCAGCGGAGAAGCTCGATTGGTGTTTAGGTAAAGTGACATCCATTTTTTCGGCCCTCATCGAGCCCACGTGCTCGATGGGGGCCGAAGTTGTCGAGTGCATGCAGAAGGTAGAGCTTTTCCGCAGATCCTGTATTTCAACAGGCTACAAGATTGTGCAATAAGATTTGTGCAAAAGATTGCAGATGTGACTAATCTACAGTCGTGCAGAAACTAAATTGCTCTGAGCGAACGAGCGTTTCTTTTCTGAGGAGTGCTTTCCTGCCGGTTTTCCTTCATACTAGCGCTGACATCAGGACTCGTCCATGTGAAACAGACAAGGGGGGAGCCCATCAACGCAAAGAAACCGCTGTTATCATCCGCATCTTCTCAGCATGGTCTGATTGAAAGGGGAGAACACACACTTGATTGGAGCTATTTAGTTTCTGCGTGACTGTACACTCACGGTTTCCACAAATGAATAAAAGCGCCCATATTGCTCCGTTCAATAAACAAAGCTTTCCTGCGTTTTTTTGTCGGATTTTTGTGTCTGTCCTGGATAGCTTTTTCAACTTACACTATTTAAGAGCTTTCACCATGAAGCACCAAAATAAAAGCAGTCAACAAGCATTCCAAAAGAAGAGCAAAGTCGCAGGAGCACAGGAGGTACTCACGAATGCAGTTGGGGAAGTTGTAGAATCCCGGGGCACATTGGTCGCAGCGTGGGCCCCCGTACTGGGGCTTGCACAGGCACTGGCCCGTCTGGTTGCTGCACACCTCCTCCGTAGTGCCCGTCGGGTCGCACGAACACACTGTACGGACACCGGGCATGCACCATTGTCAGGACACGCCATTTTTTAAAAGTTTACTAGGTTTGTTCAATCTATACCTACGCCTCCCGCACCAGCTGCACTCGATGCACGTTGTCGTGTTCGATTTACGAGTGCAGCGTATCTGAAAGCGTATGCTGGCCCAGGCGAAAGTCGGCCCACCAGCAGCTGGATAACGAAACTGGTCTTTGCTGTTCCATCCAGTTCCATCATCCAACTGCAGGTGGGCCGATTTTCAACCGGGGAGCAACAGTGCCCCGCGATTTTCTGCACCGCGTTACAGTTTTCCACACCACCGTAGGCCGATGCACGTAAGTCGAACGAATCCACCACACTCCCAGAAATCATTTTGAACTGCGTGGATAGGACCTACCGTATTTATTCGAATATAGGTCGACCTTTTTTTTTTTCGGAAATGTTGTCAAAAATTAAGGGTCGACCTATAATCGTGACCAAAGAATTTCGACCTAATTCGCAACCAAAATTTGAAACCCTACCGAGGGTATGGAGCTATCAATCACCTAGCCGTTGTCGCGGTAGAGCCGCGCGGCTTCTTGTTTCAAAAAGCTTTTGATGCACAAAAAGAACCGAACAGCAGCAGCCGACAGTCCGTGACCGCCCGCTACGGCTCTCGCGCACATTCCTCGGGCATCGAGTTTCGCCATCACGCCTGTAGCGTTCCCCTCGCTGGGCAAGGGGGAAGGCGAGGGAGAGGAACGCGATGCGCCATGCACTTTACCCTCCTATGCGCTCCATTCCTCTCTCCCTCGCAAACGCGCAAAAAAAAAAAAAAAACCACCGGAGGTATTTTAGTTTTTTTTTTTTTTTTTCAGCGGGTCGCGTGTTGCTCAAGGGGCTCGCAGCGTTGCTCGTGTCTTTGTGTTTGATCTTTCGTCGCTCGCCCGTCTCCACCTTCTTTTGTTTCTTCTTGTTGTCATTTATTTTACAACGGTGTCAGTTAGGTATTGTTGCCAATTTGCGAGGATGTCTACCAAGCTGACGAAGCTTTTTTGACATCGCCCTGTGATTTAGCTGAGAGTGCTGTAAATAAAGGTTTGTTTCTTTTGCCCTAACTTTCCCCTGTTCCTTAAAAAAAAAAAGAAAGGTCGACCTATATTTGAATTATTTTTTTTATTCTCGGTGGGCTCAATAAATAGGGGTCGACCTATTTTCGAGTAAATACAGTAAGTGACAAACTGACGATTGCTCATTTACGACAATGATTTATCGACGCACCAAGCAATACATCCATTTCCTCAACTTTGTTCGTCGTTACTTCTGCGTTCACTTGATGAAGCATTCAATCGACCGACTTGTACGTCAATCGGGCAACCATTCGATCGACCGAGACAACATAAAGCAAAAATGAGCAGACTCACGTTTGCAGGTGGGGTAGTCGTAGAAGCCCACTTGGCAGTGGAGGCACTGACGGCCGCCGTAGCTGTTCCGGCAGGTGCACTGCCCGCTCTCCGCGTCGCACGAAGCGCCTAGGGACGCCGACGGGTGGCAGTCACAGGCTGCAAAAGGACAACCGCCAAATAAAGAACCCATGGAACACTCGAGTCCCTTTGTTGACTGAAGCTACAGTGCCTGGAACAAGTGTTTGACTGGCGCGTTTAGCGTCCCATTCCACCCATGCATCAAAAGCGGTACCGAACCGGCAACTGACAGCATCGCAGGAACTGGCATACCATCATGCTGCGTTGCTATCCCAGCTGTTAGTCCTAGAAATTTATTATTTATTTATTTATTTAGGAATACTGCAGGCCAATTGCGGCCCAAGCAGGATTGGGGGTTACAAAAGTGGAGTCAAAAAAGTGCAACACCAGGTAATCCGTAAAATGGGAGAGGGGAACAGGGGAAAATTATGCAAAAATTTAAATAAAGCATATGTAATAGCTCACAACAAAGTTGGGAGGGGTGGCGGTAGTGGGGAACAGGAAAATGAAACACAATGCAAAGAGTTACACATCAAACAAATGCTCAATCGACTCCAAAACATTGTCAGATATAAATAGGTGATGAGGTAGGTTGTTCCATTCTGTTATGGTTCTGGGAAAGGAGTATTTAATGCAGGCGGGAAAGGGGACAGGATGCGAGGACCATTGTCGTCATCGCGTCCCATCTCAAGTCCGTTTTTGTTTGCGTGGACCGTCTTGCTGCAGAGTGAACTGCAGCGGAAGAGGATTCTGCTGCCCCACCCTCCGCTCCCACACCACGGCAAAGCCCACAGCCGGCAACAACATGGCACTTCTACCACCACATTACACGAGAATTGGGGAACCACATTCCAGGACGCGGTAAACGCACCAGTCGGAGGCCCGTTCCAGGCCCCATATCAAAACTAACTGAAGTGTTCAGTGATATTAAATCATGAGGGTACAGTCGAGTCCACTTATAACGATACCGTTTACAACAATATATCGGTTATAACGATGAACAACGATAACACCGTCCACTTTTATATGCTTTCAATGGTAAAATAAACCGCTTATTACGATGCTCCAGGGCTGCGATATCGGATATAGCGATTAATTCTGGTTACAGCGTGCGCCGAAAATGCCAGCCACCGCCGGCTCTCCGCGGCATGCTGTGCCCCGCGACACGCATCCCTTCCACCCCTCAGAAAATGAGTCGACTGCGCCGCTTGCTAGGAAGGAAGCAAGAGGAGGAGCAGCTTTCCTTCCGAACTCCCCTCCCGGAGACGCCGCTTTGGCCTTGTCCGCGCACCCGGTCGCACCACACGCGCACTCGGCGCACTGGCGCCACTCGCTCGCTCACTCGACTGTTGTGTGCTCGCTGCTTAGATTATCTTTCTCCGACTTCGTTTTACATTTCACTGCGGACGGGGCGTCGTGGCCGATCTGTCTGCGGCGCATTCTACGCAAGATCGGGTCTGGACGACTTCCTTCATGCAGACGATGTTGTGGAAACGTCCGAGTGCCTCAGTGATGAGGCGATCGTCGCGCGTGTACATGCTGCTGACAACGGTGAGACCGACGACTCCGACGACGTGGTTGAGGAGCCTACCCAGGTACTGTCATCGCAGGAGGCCCAGCGGATAATACAGTCCCTCAGGGACTTTGTTTTCGCGAAGGACCTCCTGCTAAGCTACGTGGAGCACCTAGATGCTCTAGAAAAAGATGTGCGCCAGCTTCGCGTGAAGCAATCAAAGCTGACAGACTATGGCTTTTCTGCAAACAAGTAGTTGCACTTGCACAACCTTACTTGCCTGCAAATAAAATGTTTTGATCTCTCTTTTGTCTTTTTTTCCTCAACCCGCTTATAACAATTATCGGTTATAACGAAGGTATTTTCTTGGCACTTGGATATCGTTATAAGTGAACTCGACTGTATACTAAACGGCGGGAAGTTAGTGAGCCCCGACAGGCATTTGGTGTTTCTAATAAATTAAGCCAGTACTGCCGCTAATCTGGGGTCTTTTTGGTGCATTACGCGGTGGTTATACAGCAAGTTCTCATTAACTCGAAGTCATAAAAACTAGAAAGAAATTCGAGAGTAGAGCAGTTTCGAGATAAGCGAGGTACCGAATTTTCATTACACTGATCGTGCATTGTGCAAATGGAACCCTTCCGACAATCGCGCCAATTGACTTGGCGCTAACACATGCGGCAGGTGCAGGTGCGGTGGGGAGAACAAAACAAAATGCAACAAAATTAATATTAAAAATCAATAAGAAGAGACAGCAAAACTAAGAAACAAAATGCAAAAAAAAATTGAAAGAATAAAAAAAAAAAGATTGAAAGGATAAAGCTGGAAGATAACGCTGAGTGCGAGGGAGACAGAAACAGGGGCACCAACCACCAAGCCATATTAGGGAAAGAAAAAGGCTCAAAGTATACCTAATCACTTCTTATGAGTTGCGAATGCCAAAGCATGCAAGCGGCTTGTCCGCTCCCTTGTTTCGTCTGCTGCATACTTTTCATTGCGGGTCAGCACGCGCTCACCTGGGCGCGCTGACCTTGGACGTTCCGTGTTAACGCTACGCTAACGGACACGCAGCGCCGCGTGAGCGGTCGTTGAAACTGACATGCAGTGGCCAATGGGAGCCTCGTCGACGCACGCCAGCCAATGGGATTGAAGCCGAAAATCCATCAGCTTTATTTCACTCTTTTGGGATTGGAGAATTTTGGTGCCGCTGGCTAGCTTTTCGCGTGGTTTCACAGCTGGGAGTTGGCTTCACTTGGAGAAAGGATTTAAGATGCCGTTTGGCGTGGTTTCAAAGCTGATGACGTCAGTTCACTCCATGAGACCCGGTTAATGCTTTCGTATTAAAAGAAAGTGAGACAACAAATGTCCTTGAGGCACATGTTGCTCCGCGAAGTGCCTTTGCTGCACCTGCGCACGTTGCCGCACTCATGACACGGACATTCTTTTTCTTTTTCTTTGTGCGTTGTTGCACACGTGCGATGATGCACAATTTTTTTCTTTTTTGTGTGTTTGTGGGTTTCCTTCAAGAACCAATGTTTAGGCCACCAGGTCATTATTTGCTGTGCTCTGCCTGTTTTTCTTTTTTTTGTAATATTTGTTGTCAGGATTTCGAGATATCCAAGGTGGGTCTGAAACCTTTTTGAGATAAGCAATGAGTAAATGAATTGTGCCTATGTGAGTTCATTTTATGGCTAGGAAATCTTCCAACTTAACCAATATTTCGAGATAGCCGAGTTCGAGCTAACGAGGGATTACCGTACACGAATGCATAACGGTACGATGCTCGGTGCAATCGAACAGGCAGGGCTGGGGAGTGAACCTAGGATTCCTCCACGCACACCAAGGTGCGGCACGTTAACACACTCACTCGGCCACCATTCTCCCGCTGGTGCCATTCATTCTGGTATAGCCAAGAAATAAAGCATGGGCTAGGATGCATGCAGCATAGAAGATGCAAAGATAGCAAAAACTGATAGAGGAATGAGTGACTAGTTAACATGGCTATACATAGATACAAGAGGAGGAAGAAGACCCACAAAAAGGACATGCACGAGGACAGTCCGTGTGTGTCCTCTTTACGTGTCTTCCTCCTCCTGCGTCTCAGGTTTAGTCACATAAAGATGGCAAGCAGCTGTGTCCGAGAAAGTCTCAAGTCTTTTCTCCTTTCTTGGTCAACTGTCATGTTATCACCTTATCCACCTTACTCATTTCGCATTTCCTGAAAACAAGAAAGTGCGATCTGAATGCTCAACGAACGGAGGAAGTTTGCCAGCTTGGTCGCATTTTGATGCAAGCCACAACTTCCTGACGATGACTGCTACAATCTTTGTCACCACGACGCCCAGTTTCAGCCTGGCTACCCACTGTGAATCTAAACACCAATTCATCGTCGCAGCAAGGAACTGTTAAAGTGGTGCTTCGACCTCAAGGTTATTCGCTACATGAGACCTAAGTTGTAAGTCGTTGGCCAATGGCACATCAACATTGTCACGCTGCCCTCTGCGACCCGTAGGCGATTCACGTCTTCCGACTCAACTGAACTAGGTATGCTCGGTAGGACTGTGAAAATCTGCTATTTACGAGACTCTGTATTTTGACCTAGTCTTGTTTAAGCTGTTAATTCAATTTTGTGTTGCATAAAGACGACGAGTCTTTCACAAGAGGGGAGTAATGCCACGTGCAAATAGCCGAGTCAGCAGCGTGATCGACTCACATGCCGCTTACCCCGCCAGCGCATGTCCTTCTTTCTTTTGTTTGCGTAACTGGAATGATGAGACGACTCTAAATTTTTTTTGTTCGAGCTCAGAAACTTCTAGATACCCACGCGCTTACAAAAGTACCTTCGCTTGGCTGCTTGAGGCAGTTGTCCTTTCGACACCATCAAAAGTCTTTGTTAATTTATGTTTCTCAGCACAAGTTCGGCGCATTACACACTGATTTTAAGTTTAATAAAGAAGTATGTTTTTATTCGTGACAATATTTAGATGAATTTTGATAATTCAATCTTCTGATATTTCAAACTAAAGTGTGTGGCTTCCAGGGCCCGTTTGCTCAAGCGCTAACCGCGGCTAAAGTTAACCGCAGTACCTAGGAGAGGGATTTTGAAATCACGTGACTGGCTCGGCAGGAATGCAGGGAAACATGGCGGTGCCCCGGTGAGTGAGCGCCGCTCGCTTTGAAACTAATATGTCGTTGTAGCTGCAATATTGGGCGCGTTAGTCAGCAATGAATGGTGCCAGAGGCTTTCGCTTTGCCTTACCTCATTTAAATCGCAAAGCATGAGCATATGACCTCGCCGCATTTTTTAGATAGTCTTTCGATTCTGGCCATTCCTAAGCCTAAATGAACGCGATAAATGTTAGCATGGCAATGTCTTTGGAAAGTGGATTGCCTTGACTCAATCGGCCGGGTATTAATAGCACACAAAGCAGACAGCGTCCCAATAGACCATATTAGACCTTTCTCTAAATTTCCCAAGCACCGAGGTGCATGCTACAAGTGTAGTTACACGCGTTGCACGTGCTGGCGTCTGAAGTAGTAACTGTTCTAAAGCAAAAAGTCTAAA